CCTGTGGTGTTGATTTGCATTTTCCTTATCATTGGCGATGTTGAGCAGCTTTTCTTACACCTGCTGGCCATTTGTATGCTGTCTTTGGAGAAATTTCTGTCTGGGTCCTCTGCCCGTTTTCCTTCATTGTTTGCGTTTCTGCTGTGAGGTTGTGTGAGTTCTTTATTTTCTAGATATTACCTCCTTAGCACATGTATGTCTGCAAATGTTTGCTCCCAGCCTGCAAGCTGCCTTTTCCTGCGTTGGTTGTTTCCTTTGCTATGCAGATACCTTTCCATTTGATGCAATCCCATTTATTTTTATTTTTTATTGTTGCTTTGGCAGCCTGAGCTTTCCATGTCAAAGGACTTTTCTTGTGTTTTCTTCTAGGCATTTTGTGGTATCAGGTCTTACAATTAGATCTTCAATACGTTTTTGAGTTGACGCTTGTGTACAGAATGTAAGTGCCCGGTCTTAATCTTTTGTGTATGGCCATCCTGTTTCCCCAGCACCATTTATGAGAGAGACTCCCCTCTCCCTACTGTGTCTTCCTGGTTTCCTCCTTTCACTATTGAAGATACTTTAATTTCCTAAGATACAGAATCATCTCAGCACTTTAAATATTTCACTCCGGCCCTCATGATTTCTGAAGGGTTGGGCGAAGTCCTTACCGTGGCTTCTGTGCAGGTGGAAGGCTGCTGTCTCCCCTCTGGCTTCTTTCAGGATTGTAGACACTCTGGTGGTTGCTTGGCTAATGTTTTGTTCAGGACTTTTTGTACTTATCTTCATGAGCCTCTAATTTTCCTGCCTCATGTTCTTTGATTTGTGTATCAAGCTGATACAGGCCTCATAAAACAAAATAGCTGATATTCTCTGGAATACTTTATAAAAAATTTAGATTTGTTTCGTTGACATCTGCTGGAACTTGCCAATAAAAGCATAAGCCTGGTGTTTTCTTTCTGTGGATATTTTCGATGACTTGGACTTCTTTGAAAAGTTTGCCTTATCTGTGGTCGTATCTTTTTTGTTCACACAGTGATGGACGTGTGTCGTCCTTGTCTCTTTTTTTACTTTACCGTCTGTCTTGAGGTTTGTCTTTTCACAGTTTAATTTTCCTTCTCCTTATTCTTTACTTTGTTGATCTAGGCTCCGACTTTTAGTGTTTTAGTCTCTCTATATTTCTTTTGGATTTGTTCTGTAGTTTCTAAGTTGGACACATCATTTCTCGTGGGTTTGCACGGCTAAAATTTTGGTTTTCCGAGGTTCTTATAGTTGAGTCCTGAAGGATTCCAGCGCGTGGAAACCCAGAAAGGAGTGATGGCCACACCGCCCCTTGCTTCTGCTTGTCCCTCTGCCAGAGGACCGAGATGGCCGGCTGGGGCCGGTGTCCGCCGTGGGACTATTTCTGGACATGTGCTCAGGGCTCAAGTGTTCGTATTTTTAACCATTCATATTTTCTTTGAGCTGCCTTTGTTAGACCAAAGAACTGTGAGAGTGTGGAACTGCTTGGACTGAGAGCGACTGTGACTCCTTGTGCTTCAGACCAGGAACCTAGGGAAGTGAGAGGGGTTTGACCGAGGCAGCGGGACAGCTTGGGCCTGGCGTGGAGCCAGGGGGTGAGACCCGATGGCCTGAGCTCTGTCCCCTCAGTCGAGCATCTCCGCAGCACAGAAGTGTTCGTCTCACAACGTGGCAGGTCGCCTGCATGATCCTGTTCCCACATGATCAACGTGCAAGGATCCTTTGTGTGAGCCCAGAAAGCACAGCTCGGAAGAGTGGAAACCATGCAACATGCTTGCAACACGGATGCTTGTGGGTTTGGGGTTTTCACCGTGGCGAGTCAGTATCTGTGCCTGTGTGTGTCAAGGGTTTACCCTGTGGCGTTTGAACACAAACATCCCTCTCATTTTGAGTATTTCTCTTTCTACCATTTGACTTCTGCATGGAATGGCCTGAGGAAGGGAAGGAATGAGGACGTGGGGCGAAATAAGCAGCCGTTCGTTCGTCTCGGCACTGTGGCAGAGACCCAGTATTGTTCCTTACAGTATCACAGCTTCTTCTCGTTTCCAAAGAAAAACAAAACCAGCACTTAGAAATTATGTTTCCTGCATGACTTATTTTAAAAGATAAAGATAACATTTATCTTAATTCTGCAGAAGCCTCTTCTGTATCCCCTCTGGGCTCTTACTGCTTTTTCTGAGAACACGACCCAGATTATGAACGGGATTGCATGGGACAGAAGTGTCCCTGAAACCGTGGTTCTTAGTAGCCTCAAGAGAGGTCTTATGCAACCTCTGAACATTCTGGGTCTGAAGCCAAGGCTTGGGCGGCTGCGTGGCCTGTGCAGCTGTAGTTTAAATGAGAAACATTCCAGTTTGCAGAGATCCAGGGTTTTTAAAGGACTTTCTGGCATATAACTTTCAAAATAGATGTATCAGCCTCGGCTTGCTTGACTCAGAATGAATTAAATGCAGCAAAATTCAGATTAAAGAGAGGTGTCCTCTGAGAATGCTTCTATAATGAGATACAATCAGTCTCATTGTTCTATTAGGATGACGCTACCATGAACTTAAATTTCTTGTTGATTACTTTAAATGAGCATCTCCTTCCTTCTCTGCTTCGTATCTTTGGGTGGTGAGATATTTTTAACATTTAAGTGTGAGAGTCCTGGTCATATCGGAGTAGAACAACATGCAGATTCCAGACTCTTCACCCAGGTCTTGGTGGTGAACACAAGCCCATTCTGCCTGCCTCCCAAGCATGACCGTGGAGGTTTGGTGTCCCCGCTTGTCTTTCCACACGCCGTCCCACCGTGCACACACAGAGCAGGGTCCGCGGGCGCCTCACGGCACCTTTCACCGGGCTTCAGCGTCGTGGAGTCCACAGCACACCAGGCTTGGGATTCCTGCCAAAGACTATGAGAAAACGGTTCCACACATGCCAGCCCTAGGATCTTAGCTTGACTGCACCAGGGGACTGGCCACCCACAGGGGGAACATCCAGGCGCTGCGCATCGACACCTCCAGGCGGGCCTGCTTCCTTCCCACTCTGAGTGCTAGAACCATCCGTGCTGACCCAGTGGGCTCCTCCCGAAACATTTTTCTCTTCTGCCGCTCAACCCTCGAAGGACCGTAATGATGTGCAAGTTCACCATGTAAACGGGAAAGAAGAAAAGAGTGTGAAGCCCCGATTTTAAAAAGCAAAAATAAAACAGCATGAAAATGAGTGCCACTGAACCTCGGTGCTTAGAAAAAAGACGAAGGCGGGAGAGGCCAGGAGGTGCGCTGTGTCAGAACGTTGAGTCTGGTTTGCCGGGAAGCCGAGTTTTCGGTGGCCGGATTCGGAGGCAGCAGGCGTGGGCTCTCGTCTTGACTGTGGCCCATCTGACCAGTGTGGCCTTCCGCCAGTTTCTGGCTTTTCCTGTATGAATCCCTGTCTTCTCTGCCTAATAAGAGCAACCGTAGTGCCTGCTACTGGGTTGTTCCCGATATCAAACCGAGAACACGTCAAGCCCTTAGCACAGGACACAGCACACGGTAACGGCTCGGCGAGCGGTAGAATTTGTTATCACTGTTATACACGCTAATAAAGAATTGCAAAGAAGGTGTGACTGAGTGTTTCCTTTGGGCAATCGGCCTTGGGACTTGGTTCCTCTGACATGAAAGGGCCTAGAAAGCACCCTCCGAGCACCCCTCCCGGCTCACCGACCGCCACCTGCTGGGGCGAGCAGCTGGCTCACTGCCCGGCAAGCTTGATTCATGTAGACGTCGGAAGGATGATGGAGCAGGTGAGGAAACGGGAACACAACATCTCACGGCAAACGTCTCTTTTCTGAAGAGGGTGAATATAACATGCTGGGAGCTTGCCTGGCGTGGAGCGAGACAGTCACAGATCGTATTGCAAACACGTTTGGGAGCAGCTAGGCGGGACGCTGAGGCATCAGCTTATTATTGGATACCAAAACGGGTCCATTCGTTGTGTGTTCAGTGGACATTGAGTAAGTGAATGAGCCCAACCTGCCTCATTAAAGTGTCTGTGTCAATGTCGGCATCCTGTTTCGTCCCGAGAGATGAACATGTGAAGGCAGCGGAGCTGCTTCGGGCCCTGCTGAAACTGGAGAGCCCTCGCCTCGCACACTTCTGGGTAGCTGGACATAAAATGGGGCACACTGAACGCCTCCGTCGGACATCGTGTGGAAAGTCACCGATTGTGGCTTTATGTCTTATCTTGAATGTAAGGATTAAGAGAAACAGGAACTTTTCTAATTAAGAGGGGGCGTGGAGTTTTGGCCACATCTAGAAATCACTTTTTAAGAGATGGGATCTGCTCTGTTGCCCAGGCTAGAGCGCAGTGATGCGATTATAGCTCATGGCAGCCTCTACCTCCTGGGCTCAGGCAATCCTCCTGCTTCAACCTCTCGAGTAGCTAGGGCTACAGGCACATGCCAGCACACCTGGCCGTGTTTGAAAAGTTTTTTGTCAAAATGGGGTCTTCCTTTGTTGCCCAGCCTCATCTTAAACTTCTGGCCTCAAGTGACCCCCCTGCGGCAGCCTCCCAAAGTGCTGAGATGACAGGCAATGAGATGAAACACGCCTATGCTTTCGTGATGGCGAGATCGCAATGCAGGTCTTAGGCTGTGTCAAGTGTGAGCTCTGAGTTGTCTTCGTGATGGGCAGACAGAGGACGACACCAGGGTACAGGGAGACAGTAAGGGCACGTGACATGTTAGAACTCAGATGCATCCTACTTAAAATGTCCTGTTTCTGCAGAGCCCGGGACCGAGGACATTTCCTCAGACTAACTGGCGATGGTTGGTTTTTCTCTAAGGTACTTCACAGACCAGAAGGTCTGTGGACCTCAGAAATACCTTGACTCTTGGTGGACCCAACATATCACAGACTTTTGTGCGCTCTTATATGTGTGAGCCTTCATTCCCAAATCGTGTCCACCGCAATTTCACACGTTTCTCTTTCTGCCTTTTCAGATTTCGGGCTGGAGATTGTTCGGGTCATCCTAGGAAAATGCTGCTGACTTGGCTCCTCGCGATAGCTCTCTCCCATGTTGCTGTGAGCCAAGATTCCGGTAAGGAAGGCGATGGAAAGAAGGCTGCCTGTGTTTGGGTTCCAGCAAACAGAGAGTGTATGAGTTCAGCCGACTTGCAAGTTGGGGGTTTTGTTTTGCTTTGCTTTGATGGCCATGCAGACGGGCGGCAGGGCAGATGCTGAGTGAGGTCGCCCTGTGTTCCTTTGAAGATCGTTCGCTTCTGGGCCTTGTTCCTTGTTAGTCATTGGAAGATATGAGGGCCGTCATTCTGTCCTGTTTCAACCCCTTCCCGGTCTTCTGGGAGGTGGCACACAGTCCTGTTACTGCTCAGGTCAGGCCTGGAACATTTGGAATGTCTCTGCCTAATTCATTTTGTGCCAGAAAGTTTTCTTGGTTAACTGTCCAGAGTGTGCTCCAGTTTAAACTGTGTGTCTGCTCATTGTCAAGAAAGTGCTTTGCCCCAGGAGAGAGGGCTTCATGACTGTCTCGTGTCCGCCAGCAAACTCTGTCCTGGGGACTTTGAGATAATGCTGGCCCGTCCTGCGTTTACCTCTGCTGCCCTCTTAAATAATTGGCTCTTGTACCAGTCGCTCATGTCCAGGGTCACCTACGCTGACTTTGACGGTTTCCTTGAGGACTCTGACCTTGGTAGGCATCTTCTTTTGATGTCTCAGTGGGCCTTGGCTTTCTCAGGAGAGGCCATGCTTTTTCCTCGGTTGTTTCATGGCTCGGACCTAGTCACGGGCCTTGTCAGCCCCAGGTCCACCTCAGTCAGCTACGCTCCCTTTCATGCAAGGAAAGGTCACTGTTGGTGGCAAGTCAGGCCATCCTCGCTGACAGTCCCCTCAGGGGTCCAGTCTTCACTTGGCGGTCGGTGCAGTGGTCTTTCCCCTGAGATGCTTCTGGCAGGATGGCCATGAAGGGAGCCTCACAGTGGCTGGATTTAGGTTATTGGAAAGAAGGAAAGTATGGTTTTATCCCCTGTGCCTTGACCAGACTGCTGTCAAGAGGATGAAATGACCCAGGGCCAAAGCCAGTTTCCTGGCAACTGAAGGAAGGAAAAGACTGACATGGCTCTGACTGGGTCAGCCCCTGTCCGGTGGCCATTTCAGGTCATCAGACTCCTGGGGCAAGGGGTCTTAGCAGCTCTCCAGTGAACCGCCTTGAGGGACAGGTACCGAGGCCCAGGGGCATGAATGGCTCCTCAGAGCTTCCAGCCAGTGCTCATGGACTCGCCCGCTTGGTGGATTGCACCGTGTGATCTCAGACACACCACACCTGTGCCTCTCCCAGACAGGAGGCGATTTGTGCTGAGGGCTGGGAACGTGGGTGCGGCCAGCGGACCACCAGGGGCAGCGACGTCTGGTGCTGAGCCCGGGGTGTCTCTGGCCACCGCGTGTGGAGTCCCACAAGGAGCGAGGCTCTAACAGTTAAGCAGACAAGGACATGCCGATACGATGCTTACATTCCTGGTAGAGACTGAAGCTGCAATCCCTTTTCTAGCCCAAGATACATCGGTGCCGTCACATTGTGCACGTGTGAGAATGAATGCGCCAATTTCACCACGTTCATGCACATAATTCACCCAAAAACCGTGTGAATGACTTTGAAATAGGTGAAGGCAATCCCTTAGTTTTACGACTTGCAGACTTTTTAAGCTTCATCAGGTCGACACTTTGGAATGTGCCCCTAAGATGTCTAAGTTGATCAGCTCACCTGTTGGGTTGCTGAAACGACGACAAAAGACTGTCTTTTAGATTTCGCCATTAAAACCAATTCAAGCCAGGCCCGGTGGCTCAGCCTGCAATCCCAGCGCTTTGGGAGGCCGAGGGAGTGGATTGCCTGAGCCCGCGGGTTCGAGACCCGCCTGGGCAACTTGGCGAGACCTCATCTCTACCATAAATCAAAAATGAGCCGGGCGTGGTAGCGCGCGCCTGTAGTTCCAGCTACTCGGAAGGCTGAGGCGGAAGGATCGCCGGAGCCCGGCAGGTCGAGGCTGCGGTGGCCGGGAGCGGCCGCTGCACTCCAGTCTGGGCGACAGAGTGCGACTCCCACTCACAAAAAAAAAACAAAAAAACAATTCAGTGGAGAATGATTTCCATTACAATGCTTACGTTGTTGACATAAATTGAGGTCAAATCCTGAAAGCAAAAGCAAAAGGTAAAAGGGGAAATTCCTCCCAAGAGGCATAAGAACCCACAACTTTCTGCTTCCCTATACTTAACCTGCATCTAGCTAACAAATCCCTTATAAAATGGTTACTTTTATGATCAGCTCCCATGAGAGACTGCATGAAGGAAGCAGCCTAAGAGACAAGTGTGTATTTTTCTTGAGAAAATGTGTGTCTTCAGGCTATTGCCTCCAGTCCACTGGGCAGGTTAAAATAAGCCAACAAACAAACAAATAAGGCAAGTACTTCCTTTGTGTAGTTGGCATTAAACGTGGCAGGAGAGTCCTGACGCCTTTCTCTGCACCCACATGTGTTGTGCTTCTGCAGGCCCTGAGTACGCAGACGTGGTGTTCCTGCTGGACAGCTCCGACCGCCTGGGCGCCAAGGCCTTCCCGTCTGTGAGGACCTTCGTCAGCAAGCTGATCAACAGCCTCCCGGTCGAGGCCGACAAGTACCACGTGGGCCTGGCGCAGTACAGTGACCGGCTCCACCACGAGTTCCACCCCGGCACCTTCAAGGGCAGAGGCCCCATGCTCAGCCACCTCAAGAAGCACCTGGCCTTCGTGGGCGGGTCCCTGCGTGTGGGGAACGCCCTCCGGGAGGCCCACCGGACCTTCTTCTCCTCCAGGGACGGGAGGGACAAGAAGCTGTTCCCCCCGCTCCTGGTGGTCCTGGCTTCGGCCGAGTCCGAGGACGACGTGGAGGAGGCCGCGAGGGCCCTGCGGGCGGACGGGGTGAGGATCATCTCCGTGGGGCTGCAGCAGGCCTCCGAGGAGACCCTGAAGGCCATGGCCACGGCCCCGTTCCACTTCCACCTCCGCACGGCCAGGGACCTCGGCACCTTCTCCCAGAACATGACGCAGATCCTCAAGGACGCGGCCAAGCACCGGGAGGCGGCGGTCGACGATATCCTGGTGGAAGGTGGGCTTGGGGTGCACGTGTGGGAAGGGTGACCAGAGCCTTGAGCAGTCACACGGGGAGGGGGCCTCCGCTCCAAGCGGTCCTTCCTCGGAGGGGGCTGCACTCATGGTGAGCTGCAGACCCCCACGCTCAAGAGGGTCCAGGGGCCGTGGCCATCTTAATTCAGGAGCCCCCGGGCCTTGGCTTCCCACGTTTCGTGAACCCACGTTGTATGGCGTTCTCAGGCCTCCGCATGTCGGGGTGCCTCTCCCTGCCTCTGCAGACCTCTGAGCTATCCCCTGGGCCTCAGGTGCCGTGTGACTCAATTCCTGGCTCCTTAAAGGGCAACCTTGCTCGTGAAGCCATGTGAGGTCCTTACGAAGGTCAGAGCTGGGGACGGCTTCCAGTGGCCCGAGTTCCCCTTCTGCAGGGAGGATCTTGGCCGGCAGCCCAGGGGTGCCAAACGCTGGTCCTAAAGCCAGGACGGGCCAGTCTCCCTGCTTCCTGCCACACTCCAGCCCCACTCCCTCCCCTTTCTACTCTGCTGTGAGTCAGCTTCCTGGGGTTCTGCTCCATGGCCACCCTGCCGGCCCAGTCCGTCCTCTTGTCCTTCTCGAGTGACAAGAGTGGCCACAAGTTTATGGACGTCATCCAAGTGAGGGGCAGGGAAAGTCAGGAAAAGATGACATGCTCCGGGTTCACCTGTCCAGATAAGCGGCGTGGGGATTCACGCCAGTCTGGGTGACACGCACCGTCACCCGCGGATCACAGGGAGTGCAGTCCCGGGGTTGTCCCTGAGAGGCCTGTCACTCGCACCTTTTCCCAACAAAGTCATTGCAAGTGCAGCTGAGGTTCACTTCATGCCCCTCAGGACTGTGTGCACTGTAACTGCTGATTGTAACGGTGGCGGTGTTTGGGTGACTTCAACATGGTAGCATGGCTGCTGTTCATTGAGTGACTCTCACGGGCCCCGCTAAGCATGTTATCTCATTTAGTATCCCTAGCAAGTCCAAGAGATAGATATCATCCTCTCCATCTTACCAATGAGGACATGGAGCCCCAGCCCTTGTACTGAGGGCTGTGATCCCACTTCACGGTCTCTGGCCCACCTCTGTCCGTCCTTGGTGCCAGCCGAGCTCTGGCGTGTTCTTCACGCCTCCTGAGGCTGAGCGCGGCGCAAGCTTTCCATTCCTCCCCACGCAGTGTGCCAAGGCCCTTCCGTGGCCGACCTCGTGTTCCTGTTGGACGTGTCGGTCAACGGCAGCCAGGAGGACCTCAACTACCTCAAGGACTTCTTGGAAGAAAGCGTGTCTGCCCTTGACATCAAGGAGAGCTGCATGCGGGTGGGCCTGGTGGCCTTCAGCAACGAGACGACGGTGCTCGGCTCTCTGAGTGCCGGGACAAACAAGTCGGAGGTCCTCCATCGCATCCAGACCCTCTCCCACCGGGCCGGCCCGGCCCACACAGGGGCCGCCATCAGGAAGGCCCGGAAGGAGGTCTTCAGCCCACGTCATGGCAGCCGGAAGAACCAGGGCGTGCCCCAGATCGCCGTGCTGGTGACGCACAGGCCCTCGGAAGACAACGTGACCAAGGCGGCCGCGAGCCTGCGACGCGAGGGCGTGACCGTTTTCACCCTGGGCGTGGAGGGCGCCAGCGAGGCCCAGCTGGAGAGGATAGCCTCGCACCCCGCCGAGCAGCATGTGTCCAGGCTGAAGGCCTTCGCCGACCTGCCTGCCCACAACCAGACGTTCCTGAAGAAGCTGCGGAACCAGATCACGCACACGGTCTCCGTGTTCTCAGAACGCACCCAGATCCTCAAGGCTGGTGAGTCTTGGCTGCGGGAGATGTCGTCAGACCCTCGCTGGCCTTCCTTGTCTGTCAAGGGTCGCCTGCGCCCGAGGGTGGCGGTGGGATGGGGCGGGCATGAGCTCCGGTTGTATGCCTGGCTCCTTTTGGAGGCTAGAGGCCCCGAGGCCCTCTCGAACGGCCATGGCTGGACGCGTGACCCCCACGCCAGGCACCCCTTCCGTGGCCATCTCTGCTTCCTCTCCTCTGCCTCTCGCCTCCCTGCTTTTTAGTTCCTTCTTCCTTTGTGCTTCTCTCCCCGGCTTCCTCTTCCCTCATGCCCAGATTCCAATTCTGAGAAGACACAGGAAGTGAGATTCAGACAGAGGACAGAGCGACTCTGTGGCATGTTGAGACGCTCCCTCCGGCGTCTGCGCGTTGAGGGAGAGGTGGAGGGCGAGGTGTGGTGTGCTTCCTGAATGCACAGGTGTCAATATTCGGATGTGCAGGTGTACACGGGCACGCACACAAGTACTTACCACACCTTGGCTATGTGGGCCCTCATCTCACACCCACAGGTCGCCGGCCATCTCCCTGCTTGAGTCGATGGACCAGGGGGGTAAGCAGTAAGCCGTTTGTTCAGGCAGGCATGCCCCCCGTGTCTGGGGGATCCGGTTAAACTCCTGGCCGTTGTTTACTGGTGGAAGAAGCGACTTGTGAAAAGCAGCTACAGGTTTCCTAATTTTGGGCTACGCCCAGGTCGACCCTGGTCTGGGCAGAGAAACAGGGTGAGAGGCCCGGGGGTCAGGAGCTGGTTCTTTGGTCCTACTGCAGCTAAACCCGCCTTTTCCAGCTGTCGGGGTGCGTCTTCTGGGCCAAGAAGCCGGGTGCCCTGTCTCTGCCCAGGGAGGCCCGTGCTTATCCCCTTCCCATCTGTCTGCTGCCACCCCTTCCCCACACTCACGCCCAGGACCCATCCAGCCCTCCGGTTCCCTTCCAGGCTGCGTGGACACCGAGGAGGCAGACATCTACCTGCTCCTCGACGGCTCAAGCAGCATCCAGGCCTCGGACTTTCAGGAGATGAAGGCCTTCCTGTCGGAGGTGGTGGGAATGTTCGACGTCGCACCCCACAAGGTGCGCGTGGGGGCCGTGCAGTTCTCCGACCGCCAGGACTTGGAGTTTGAGGCCGACAAGTACTCCAACAAGCACGACGTGGGCAAGGCCATCGAGAACATCAGGCAGATGGGCGGGGGCACCAGCATGGGTGCGGCCCTCAACTTCACCCGCAGCCTGCTGCAGGAAGCCAGGAGGCAACGGGGCAACCGGGTGCCGCGTCATCTCGTCGTCCTGACGAGCGGCACGTCCGAGGACGGCATCTTGGAGCCCGTTGGCTGGCTGCAGCAGGAGCGCGTCCGCGTCCACGCCATCGGGGTCCGGGACGCCAACCAGACCCAGCTGCGGGAGATTGCGGGAGACGAGAAGAGGGTGTACTACGTGCATGACTTTGACGCCTTGAAGGACATCCGGAACCAGGTGGTCCAGGAAATCTGCACGGAGGAAGGTGAGTCCCGCGCGCGCGCCTGTGGCCTCCCACGCACAGCCGCTTCCTGCGGTGCCCGCCATGGCTGCCTGGAGGCAGAATGGGTTCTGGGTTGGACGTGGGGCCTGGGTGCCATGTTTGTTCTGCAGAACAAAGCCAGGAGCCCGTGACGGGGTCATTCTATTCGTGTCTGGAGCACAAGAAAGGTGTTTGAGGAAACTCCCTAACACAGACCGTGGGCTTCCTCCCACAAATCCCTGCTGGGATCAGTAAGTAATTAGACACCACATATGTGGAATGTGAAGAGATGGTTTCAGATTTTAGGGAGTACCTTGGATTTCTTTAAGTTTCTTTCTTTTCTTTTTTCTTTTGAGTCGAGGTCTCACTCTGTCGCCTAGGCTGGAGTGCAGTGGCAGTCACAGTTCGCCGCAGCCTCAACCTCCTGGGCTCAGGTGCTCCTCCCACCTCAACCTCCTAGTAGCTGGAACTACAGGCGTACTCCACCACACCGGCTAATTTTTTTTTATTTTTGTAGAGACGAGTTCTCACTATATTGCCTGGGCTGGTCTCAAACTCTTGGGCTCAAGCGGTCCTCCCACTGAACTCCCAAAGTGCTGGGATTACAGGCATGAGCCACCGTGCTCAGCCTACATTTCTTTTTAATAAAACTTTTTAATAAAACTTTTATGAAGTGTCCTAGAACTCTATCTGCAGTTTTTAACCGGAGGTGATTTTGCCCGCTTGGGATATTTGGCAGCGTCGAGAGACATTTTTGAATCTTGTAACTGGGGAGTGCTCCTGGCACCTGACAGACAGAGGTCAGGGATTCCTCCAAACATCCTCTTGGCTCCTACAGACAGCCATTGCAATACCAAAGATTCAGCCCCCGTGTCCAAAGTGCTGAGCCCGAGAAGCCCCGGGCGATGTGTTCAAGCAAACTCCCGAGTGTCAAATAGGACATTCCCGTCTCCACCAACCCCAGCGCTGTGTTTTCCGCCGTGGGGCTTCCGCGCACACCCCTGGCTGGTGTCTGAGCTCTCCCTGGGGCGACCGAGTCACCGCCCCCCTCTCCCCGAGCAGCCTGCAGGGAGATGAGGGCCGACATCGTGTTCCTGGTGGACAGCTCGGGCAGCATCGGGCTGGAGAACTTCCACAAGATGAAGACGTTCATGAAGAGCCTGGTGGGCAAGTCGCAGATCGGGCCGGACCGGGTGCAGGTGGGCGTCGTCCAGTTCAGCGACGTCAACCGGGAGGAGTTCCCGCTGGACCGGTTCTCGTCGCAGGGCGAGGTCGCCGCCGCCATCGACCGCATGGTGCACCTCGGGGAGACCACCCTGACCGGCGCCGCCCTGAGCTTCGTGTCTCAGTACTTCCTCCCCGCCAAGGGGGCCCGGGCCGGCGTCAGGAAGTTCCTCATCCTCATCACCGACGGCGAAGCCCAGGACGCGGTGGGAGCCCCGGCGGCCGCGCTCCGGCAGGAGGGCATCCTCGTCTACTCCGTGGGCGTGTTTGGCTCCAACGTCACGCAGCTCGAGGAGATCAGCGGGAGGCCCGAGATGGTCTTCTACGTGGAGAACTTCGACATCCTGCAGCGCATCGAGGACGACCTGGTGTTCGGGATCTGCAGCCCCCGGGAAGGTAGGCGGCCGCGGTTGCTTCGGCGCCGTCAATCGCGTGTGGTAAACTTGCTGCTTCGTTGACGTGCTTATCCTGGCGGCCCTGAGCCGGAGAACTGAATGGACTGTGAGGAAGAATTCTGGTCTGCCTGGACCGTTGCCGTGTTAGGCAGATGGCCTAGGGTGATGAGTCCCCATTCAAGAAAAGCAGCTCAGACCGGGGCCCCACAAGCAGCAGCCGGGCGGGTTCCTGTGGAAGGGGTCTCTTAGGGAAGCGTTCTCAGGGGGGGGGGGCAGGCGGCAAGGGCAGGGCTGAGCCAGGAGGGCGTGCTGGCTGGTGCCACTGATCCCACAGGGGCTCCAGGGTGCGAACTGCACCCCAGCGTGGGTCCCGCCTGGAGGCAGGGGCCAGCCTTGCGTGCCCCATGACCCTGGGCTACGTGGAGCGGAGACAGGACATCACCTCCGGGGTGAGGCGGTTCCCCCACTGGCCACTTACTGCATCTGAGGTTTCTTTGATGTATTTGTTCATTGTCCTTTTCAGTTTCTGAGACCAATAATTGTAGCAGGTGAGATCATGATTGTGAAAACGCTTTGAAGTGTGCAAAATTTTATAAAGGAGGAGCATGGTTAGGGCCCTGAGCTGTGGATGATCCAGAGGAGGTGAAGGGCTTAGCCCCCGCTGCCCATGAAACCGCAGCTGTCACTGTGACCTACTGGCTCGGTGACAGGGGCTTTCTGAAAGTCTCTGGGGAGGAGCTTTTCTGACTGAAACAACAGCTCAGTTCAGCCCCCACTGGAAGGGTCTGCCTTTTGCAGAAAGGGAGTATACCTGGCCAGTGTTCTCTGGGGATTCCAGCCAGAACAAACCCAAACTCTGAAGGGTGACCTACTCAAATCCCTGGCCACCCAAGCCAGCTCACAGGCAGCCCCAGGTCCCTGGGGCATAGATCTGCAGTGGAGTCAGCCTCGCTTGGGAACTTGGCACATGGCTCTGTGCTCGTGGCTCTGTGCACATGGCCTCCTGGCAGGGTGAGTGTGGTGACGCTAAGGCTTTCACAGGCCTCATGTGGCCGCAGAGGCAAGAGGTGCGAGAGCCTCTGGTGAGGTTTCCTCATGGTGCCACGTCCCGAGAATGGATGAGGTCACATTTGGAGCAGCCTTTTTGTTTTTTTTGAGTTAGAGCCTTACTCTGTCTCCCAGGCTGGACTGCGGTGGCACTCTCCCCCAATGTCAACCCCAATGTCAACCTGCTGGGCTCCAAAGATCCTTCCACCTCAGTCTTCCAAGGAGCCAGAACTACAGGCACACACTACCAGGCCGGCTCATTTATTTTTATTGTAGAGCTGAGGTCTCGCCACGTTGCCCAGGCTGGTCTCGAACCTGCAGGCTCAGGCAGTCCACTCGCTTCGGCCTCCCACAGTGCCGGGATGACAGGTCGAGCCGCCGAGCCCAGCCTGGAGCCGCCTTTCTAAGGCTTAGAGAATGGACTGAGTAGGACTCAGTCACGAACCGCCTCACGGTGCCACGTCCCAGAATGCGAGAGCAAGAGCGGGAGTGCACCGAGGGTGGGAGCAGACCACACGTGGGTGGAGGATCAGCTGGATGTTTCCCGCTTTCCTTTCCGTGGCTGGGACCTCGGATTTAACAAGTGAGTGGGAGTGTCACGCTGGCACGGCCTAGTTGGGCCACGGGAGAAATGGGCTCATCTCTGTGGTGAGGCCCCATGACGAAAACAGATCACATTCACAAAAGCCAAAAAGCAAGAAAAAGTGACCTTGATGATTCAGTCATCACAGAGTCATGAACACGTTCAGAGTTGCCAAGTTCGTTTCCATCTGGTCACTCCCCAGGGTTTCCTAAAGGAAAAATCTCAAGATTCCTGTGGCTTAAAAAAAGACAAATGCGTGTAAGTGGAACCACTTGTAGGAGAGGCCATTTGTGGGGAAACCTTACACAGCACTGTGGGGTTTTCGTCCAGTGGCTTGGGCACGTTATTCCTGGTGGTCCTGTGACCGTCACTCTGGCCTCGTCCCAAACCCTTGCCAGCGTGGGTGCTGGCCACGTGCTGACAGCACACATGTGCGAGTGTTGGCTGTGTTACCAGGGAGTGGACACTCTGATGTGCAGTGTGAGCCCATGGAGAGAGAGCACCAGAGTTGGTGAAAAGTTGGGGCCCCCCGGCTGTCGAAGCTGACCCCGTGACAGTCCTTCCCCCTAGAATGTAGGCTGACTCCATGTGAATGAACTTCCTTCCCAGATGCAGGCTGACCCCGCATGCTGTCCTTTCCCCTAGATAGACCCATGTCACAGTCCTTCCACTTAAATGGAGGCTGACCCCGTGACAGTCCTTTCCCCTAGAATGTAGGCTGACTCCATGTGAATGTACTTCCTTCCCAGATGCAGGCTGACCCCGCATGCTGTCCTTTCCCCTAGATAGTAGACTGACCCCATGTCACAGTCCTTCCACTTAAATGGAGGCTGACCCCGTGTCACTGTCCTTCCCCCTAGAACGGAGGCTGACCCTGTGTCACTGTCCCTCCCCGCCAGATGCAGGCTGACCCCACGTGCCGTCACTCCCCCTAGATGTAGGCTGACTGCGGGGAAGGTCAGTGACGCGGGGTCAGCCTCCATTCCAGGGGGAAGCTCACCGTCCCCCCCGCAGAAGGCAGCTGACCCCGTGTCACTGTCTTTGCCCCACGGAGGCAGGCTGACCCCATGTGCTTACCCTCCCCGCAGAGTGCAAGCGGATCGAAGTCCTGGACGTCGTGTTCGTGATCGACAGCTCGGGCAGCATCGACCAGGACGAGTACAGCGTCATGAAGGACTTCATGACCGGCCTGGTGCGCAAGGCCGACGTGGGCCGGGACCAGGTCCGCTTTGGGGCCCTCAAGTATGCCGACGACCCCCAGGTGTTGTTCTACCTGGACGAGCTGGGCTCGAGGGCGGAGGTGATCTCCGCGCTGCAGGGCGACCAGCCTGTGGGCGGCAGCACGTACACCGCCGAGGCGCTGGGCTTCTCCGGCCACATGTTCACCGAGGCCCGGGGCAGCCGGCTGCACAAGGGCGTCCCGCAGGTGCTCATCGTCATCACCGACGGGGAGTCCCACGACTCCGACCAGCTCAACGCCACGGCCCAGGCCTTGCGCGACAAGGGCGTCCTCATTCTGGCCGTGGGCATCGCGGGCGCCAACCCGGTGGAGCTGCTGGCCATGGCGGGCTCCAGCGACAAGTACTTCTTCGTGGAGACCTTCGGGGGCCTGAAGGGCATCTTCTCGGACGTGTCGGACAGTGTCTGCAACTCTTCCAAAGTAGGTAAGGGATGTCCCTCGGTTAGGCGGCCCCTGACTGTTGGCCAAGACAGAGGAGGCCAGAGAAGAGCCTCAGCCTGGTGCTTTCCAGAGGGGACAGGGGCCCTGTCACAGGCTCGCAGGGCTGGGGCCCCAGGCGTGCTTGGTTCACGGGGTCACAGGGTTGGGGACCTCAGGGGTACTTGGTTCACGGGGTCTCAGCGCTGGGGAACCTCAGGGGGGCTTGGCCTGTGGGGTCACAGGGCCAGAGGTATCATGGGCACTTGGCTCGTGGGGTGACAGACTGGGGCCCTCAGGGTGCTTGGTTCACGCGGTCTCAGGGCCGGACCCTCGGGCATCTGACTCTTCCCCTGCCAGTGAGAAGCACCTGCTGCCACCTTCCCGCTCCCTCTTCCTAAACTCTTCTGGTGACAGAGAAGGCCCCACATCGGGACCGTCTTTATTCATTGACAGTGGTTCCCCGCCTTCTTGGCATCAGGGACCGGTTTTGTGGAAGACGATTTTTCCATGGGCATGGGGGGGGCAGGGGGGCTTAGGACGATTCACGTGCATTACATGTATTGCACTCTTTATTTCTATTATTATTGCATTGTGCTAATAATGACATAATTATACCAGTCACCATTAAAAAAAGAGGCACGGGCAGAAGTGGTGAGTTAAACAGTGGGCGGGCCACGTGTGGACTGAAATAAGTGCCAGCTCCCGACTTAAAGCCTGCCCCGGATGCGGCTGGTAACTGAGGCCCATCAACTCACTTGCCACTCACCGACAGGGTTCTGGGATGAGTCCGCAAGCGGTTGACTGACGACGGCCTCCGTGCAGTCCAGCCTCGCTGCTTGTGTTCATCTGTGTTTGCAGCCGCTCCCTGGCCCCAGCGTTCCCGCCTCATCTCCGCCTCAGACCGTCTGGCATTAGACTTTCATAAGGAGTCGCAACCTAGATCCCTCGGGTGCGCAGTTCACAGTGTGCCCCTATGAGAAACTAATGCCGCCGCTGATCCGACAGGAGGCAGAGCTCAGGCGGTCTTGCGGGTGACGGGAACGAATGTCAATATAGACAAAACTCTGCTTGCCAGCCTGCCGCCCACCTCCTGCTATGCACCCGGGTCCTAACCGGCCTCGGACCAGGCCACCCCCTCTGCTGGTGCCTGAAGCCAAGCCTGGGTGTGCCTTTCTCTCGTCACTGAGGGAGCAGGCGGCGAATCTTCACACTGGAAGTCGTCCTTGGGCAGACCTGATTTCCTGGTCAGAGTCTGAGACATAGGATGATCGCGTTTGCCTGAGCCAGCTCTGAAGACCGATTTTCCATACTTCTCTGTCTCTTCCTTGCTTGCCTGGACTTCAGGAACCTCAGATTCCCTAGGCTGCTCCGAAGTCATGATGAGGATTCATGGAGCTCGGGCAGCGGTGGGATCACGGGGAATTCAAGGACGGGGCCCTGCGAGGATGCGGTGTGTGCCAAGCTCGCTCAACGTCGCAGCGGCCTCCCTGCTCTCCTAGCTTGACACCTGCCGTGTTGATACAGGGGAGCCTCTCTGTGGCACTGTGTGCTCAAAAACATTTTTCTCAGGCAGATACTTTTGCCTGTAGACACTGGAAAGAGGCCTGATAGAAAGGAAAAACAACTAGATGCAGACCAGAAGGCACGGTTTCCAAACCTCCCCTCCGCGAGCCCCAATAAACCAGGGAAAGGTGCATTTGTGCAGATGGCTAGGGAGGCCAAGCCCGCACTGCCAACCATCTGCCCTTCGCAGGAATCCCCGAGTGCGTGTCACGTTGCCTTCTCTCTCTGTGCTGCCACTTACTGCACTGGGCTTCGTGGGAGCTAAGGCTGGGCCCCAGATGGGGGCGAGTCCCGCAGCCCAGTCCCCAGTTCCCCGCCATTGCGGAAAGGGAGAGGGCGCCAGACCAAGGGGACAAGCCGAGCGACGCGTGGAAGGACGCGTGACCCCAGGCCTGGTGCTGACCTCACCACCCCACCCTTCGATTTTATTCCCTCCGCGATTAACGTGAGCATGAGATAAGAAGCCTCCTTCCGAAAGGCCGTTTCTGCAGCGCTGCAGACGCTGAGCGGGCTTGCTGCGCTAGAGAAAGAGTAACGTCTGGTGTTCTTCTCCCTCTCCCTCTTCTCCCTTGCAGACTGTGAGATCGAAAAAGTGGACCTCGTGTTCCTCATGGACGGCTCCAACAGCATCCTGCCGAGCGACTTCACGAAGATGAAGGAATTTTTGGCCTCGGTGGTCCAGGACTTTGACGTCGGCCCGGACAGGGTGCGGATAGGCGCCGCCCAGTTCAGCGACGCCTACCGGCCGGAGTTCCTCCTAGAAGACTTCGTGGGGGGGAAGGAGATCTCGCTCCGGATCGCAGGCATCCAGCAGCTCTTTGGCTACACGCACATCGGCGCCGCGCTCCAGCAGGTGGGCCGCTACTTCCGGCCCGACTCGGGCAGCAGGATCCATGCGGGGACCCCGCAGGTGCTGCTGGTCCTCACGGACGGCCGGTCGCAGGACGAGGTGGCTCCGGCCGCCGAAGCCCTTCGGCACCGGGGCGTGGACGTCTATACCGTGGGCATCGGGGACGTGGACGAGCAGCAGCTGGTCCAGATCACTGGGACGGCGGACAGGAAGCTCACCGTGCAGAACTTCGACGAGCTGGCCAAGGTCAAGAAGCGGGTCGTGCGCAACATCTGCACCACGGGCGGCGAGAGCAGTGAGTGTTGCGAGGGGTGCGCACCGGTCCCCCGCCCACCCTGCGCCCCAGCACCTTCCTCACGCCCCCCACCCCGCCGGGCCATGGGACGTTCGTGGCTATGGGGGAGGAGGAGAGCTCTGTGCCGGGCAGCTGGAGAGACAGGTGTCTCCGGTCCCGTGTCCTTTCCCTCCGTCCCTCGGGCAGCCTGCCGTGTGCATGGGAATGCCTGTGCTCCCCGGATGGGAGCAGGGGCCACTGTCTGCAGCCCACCTGCGCCGCACGGCTCAGAGGTAACGATGTGGCGGGTTTGGGTTGCCTGGCAAGAGGCCCCGCAGGACTCTAAGTCTAGGAGGACGCCACACCCCTGGGGTCGGTCAGTATCCTCTCTAAAACAAGTGCAGCCTGGCATGTTTGCTGACAGACAGCTGTGTCTTGAGGAAGGGGTTTCTGCCGGGTGGGCTGTGGTTCTGTGTGACCCTCGGAACACGGAGCCCAGACCGCCGCCCACACGGAAGGGGCAGAGGCGTTCGGAGGCAGCTCCCGGCCGGGCACGGCGGCCCACCCTGCAGTCCCAGCACGTCGGGAGACTGAGGCAGGAGGAGCGCTTGAGCCCAGAAGGTTGAGGCGGCAGAGGCAGACCCCGTCTCTCTAAAAACAAACAGGCAGCCTGACTGCAGACGCCCATGGCTTCTCGGACGAGTTGCTTGTGTTCTCCAAGTTTAATTTTCTCACTACGAAGTGTGAACAAGCGCAGCACCTCGTCCAAAGGGTCACTGTGAGGACTGCGTGAGACACGCCTTTTCTTGACCCCAGCAGCTTCCAGGGTGCAAGTGGTTTCTGGTTGCACGGACGCTCTGTGTGGCAGTGTTTGGGCCTGGAGGGTGCCCAGCACCCCCACCTGTGCACACCGTCCCCGACAGCTGCTCTTGCGTCCCTCCCCTCCCCCGCCCCCTTCTGAGTCTCCGGTGTCCATCACGCCATCTCTCTGCCCGTGCAGACATCTGGCTTAGCTCCTGTTCATAAGTGAGAGCATGGCGTGTTTGGCTTTCTTTTCCTGAATCCCTTCTCCAATCCCATCCAATTCTCACTGCTGCAAGAGACATGATTTATGGTGGCAGTTCTCCATGGTGTCTATCTGCCACCTTTCCACTCTCCGCTGATCAGTAGACGGGCATTTCGGTTGATTCCACGTCTTTGCAATTGTGACTTGTGCTGGGATCAACGTGCAGGTGTAGGCGTCTTTTATATGACGACCTCTGTTCCTTGGGATAGACGCTAGCAGTGGGATTGCTGGATCAGATGGCAGATCTGTTTTTAGTTCTTTGAGAAATCTCCATGCCGCTTCCCACAGAGGTTGGGCTAATTTACACTCCCACCAACAGTGTATAAGTGTTCCCTTTTCTCCACATTTGAGCCAGCATCTATTGTTATCTGGTTTTTAAAATAAGGGTCATTCTGAGTGGTATAAGATGGTAGCCTGTTGTGGTTTTAATTTGCATTTCTTTATTGATGATTTTTTTCATGTGTTTGTTGGCCATTTGTGTGTCTTCTTCTTTGGAGAGGTGTCTGCTCATGTCGTTTGCCCACTTTTGAATGGGATTGCTGACTTTTTTCTTGCTGATTTGCTTGAGTTCTTTGTAGATTATGGATATGAGTCCTTTGTCAGATGTACAGTTTGGAACTACCTTCTCCTATTCTGTAAATTGTGTATTTGCTGTATTGATTATTTCATTTGCTGGGCAGACGCTATTTAGTTTAATTAAGTCTCATTTACTTATTTCTTTTTTTTTTTATTTGTTATTTTTGAGTTGGAGTCTCACTCTGTTGCCCAGGCTGGAGTACAGTGGCATGCTCACAGCCACCACAGCCTCAACCTGCTAGGCTTAGGTGATCCTTCCGCCTTCAGCCTTCCAAATATCTGGAACTACAGGCCCACACCACCACACCCAGCTAGTTTTTGTGAGTTATTATAGAGACAAGGTCTCATCAAGTTGTCCAGGCTGTTCTCAAACCCCCGGACTCAGGCAATCCTCTCGCCTTGGCCTCCCAAAGTGCTGGGATTACAGGCTGAGCCACCACTCCCAGCCATTACTTATTTCTTAAACAGAGTCCCACTGTCTTGTGTGTGTGTGTTTTCTCTCTTCTCATAGAAATTCACTTTTCTTTGTTATTTATACCAAGAAAGTAGCAATAAAGCCATAAACACATGGCTGTTTAGCCTAGAACTAAACCTTGAGGAAGAATCGTTTTTATTTTGTAGAAAAGGCCGTCTTGAATTGGACTTTCATATCTGTTTTAGCTTGGAGATTTTTCAATAAAGTAAAACAAGATGACCAACCTTTCAGATTTTTAAATAATATTTTGATTTACCTTGAATCTCACAATGAAAATTGACTGTCAGATGAAACGTTTGTCCCTCACCCACCTCTTCTCTCATTAAAAATGGATCAGATCACCAGCCCTTGTTTTCGAAATTGAAGTGGACAGTTGTGGTTTCAAAGATTTGCCCATGCCCAGCCGACCAGCATGGCGGGGAAGTAGCTGGGCACCTGCCCACGCCATGAATATCTGAAAGACGACTGCTCTAAACAAAGCAGATGAAAATAAACACTCCTCATCAAGCAGGTTGCATGGGTGGAGGCTCCTGGGAAAGGCTGACGTTTTGAACCAAGTCAAAAGTTCTTGCAAGAAAAGTGTGTGTGTCACATGACTTCATCCTTTTCTCATCATCTGCTCTTGGGCAGCTCAGCTTGGCGCATCCAGCCCTTACGAGCTTCCCCAGTGCTTAGCTTTCCCTGGACTTAATAAAGACAAGAGCAAACACTTGAAAGCAACCCTCTCTGGGTATTTCTAGAACCCAAAGCAGCAGTGTTCTTGGTCTCCTGAATGGCCAAGCTGCTGAAGGTGGTGCCTTCTTCAACATGGTCGGATACGGATTATTGAGTTACTAGTCTCTTCACTTGGAGGACCTGGGCCACTCAAGATCTCTTTTTCTTAACTTTTAATTTTTTTATTTTAAAATTGTGAGGTATAATTCAGGGTCAGGTATACAAATATTCATTGTACAGGGATCCTTGTTGATGAGGTGTGCCCCAGGCAGATTGCAAGGTCTCAAAGGAGCTCTTGAGAGATTCGTTTTGTTCTTACTTTTCGTTTTCTGAGTGGATGAGGAAGCAAAGGCCCTTTTTCAGAAAGATAAATCCCCCAAACCATTCCTTAAACAAGTCCTCTGTGATTTATGCTTTCCTAAATGACTTTCTCTGTTCAAATGTTCTCACATTTCCCTATAATTATTGTAGCTTACTATTTGTTGAATGACCTCAGCTGGTAAGTAGCATGAGATGAATTTCTTATTTTAGACTATTAACATCTCCACAGTGTACTCTGGGGATATTTAAAGGACTGCATGGCTTTCTCAAGAGATACAGTGAAGCCTTTGAGAACTGTAAACGTTATAGAATCATCCAGATTTCTTGCCAGCTGAGAAGATAATAAAGCATTACACTTTGACAGGTTATCGAAGGGAGTCCGAGCCTCTCCCATCCTTCACTTCGTAACTGAAACGGAAATAAGAATTCCAAGTCCTCAATTCAGACACGACATTCAAGCCAAACACGGGTGTGTGCTGACCTAATGAGCCTCTTTTCCCCTTGAATCCCAGGTTGTTTCGTGGACGTGGTGGTGGGGTTTGACGTCTCCACGCAACAGAAAGGCCAGACCCTGCTGGAGGGCCAGCCTTGGGTGGAAACCCGCCTTCAGGACGTGCTGCGTGCCATCAGCTCCCTCAACGGAGTCAGCTGTGAGGTGGGCACGGAGACGCAGGTCAGTGTGGCTTTCCAAGTGACCAACGCCGTGGAGAAGTACGCTCCCAAGTTTGAGATCTTCAGCGAGAACATCCTGCACAGCCTGAGGGGCGTGACGGTCGGGGGACCGTCCCTCCTGCACGCAGACCACCTGGCCTCGCTGTGGGACGCGTTCCAGAACAAGTCCGCCGCGCGGGGAAAGGTAGCCTGGCTCCGTCTCGCGTGGTGGCCCGTGGTGGCCGGGCGCACCCTTGACTCACTTTCCTTTTCTGAATGCTTCCCCAGGTGGTGCTTTTGTTTTCAGATGGATTGGACGACGATGTGGAAAGACTTGAGCAAAAATCTGACGCGCTCAGAAAAGAAGGTACTGCGGGCTGGGGGCGGAAGGAAGGGGCACCTGTGAACATCAGCGTCTCGGAGCTCCCTCCTCGTCCCTGGGCTTCCGGGTCCTTCCCTCACCCTGAACCTGACAGTCTCCCTGCCCCACGCCCTCGGCACCGCAACGGCTCTCAGAACCGCAGGACGCCTGCGTGTTTCCTCGTCTGCCGTGCGTGTGAGTCAGCGATGTCCCACGCCCCAAGTCTCTTCCTCACCTCTCCTGGAGAACGTCCCTCCCTTCCTCGCCCCACCTTGTCTGATATTGCTGCTGCTTCAGTGTCAGCGGGAGGAACGGTCTGGTTCCCCTTGACCAAGGAAGGGGAGAGCTGCATCTTCTCCTTACACTCTTAACGTCTCCAGAGTCGCGAGCCTTGTTGGACAAACTCGCTCCTGTTTGGGGGTTTTCTAATCCATCCCTGCCTCGAGACCAGCTGTGGAGTTCGAGTCTGTAAAGCTCTGGAACCCACGTCTGGCTTTGGGAACCAACAAATATACACCCACAAGTGCAGGTTGGGCCAAGGACAGAAAGCCTCTCCTCCAAGCGGGCTGCCTTGTGCCCACTGGCCCCCTGGTGGCAACTATCCTGCCCCAGCCCACCACCCAGCCACTCCTCTGAAGAATCATCCTTGGCCGGGGGAAGGCTACTCCCCAGCCCACTCCCAGGTAGCAGGGAGAGTCGGCCCTTTGCCCCGTGAGGCAGGCCATGGTGTGGTCCATGTCCCAGAGCTTCCTGGGCTCCCATCTTGCCCGGCAGCTCCCCTGCCCTCTCCTGCCGCCCTCACCCCTTCCTTCTGAACGTGTCCCCTCGGCCACTTTGGCGCCTCTGCTCAGGCTCTGCTTCCAAGGACCCTGACCCGAGACATCCCCTCTCAGCCTGGATCACAGAGGCTAGCTGGGCTCTGTCTTTCTGTTTGCTTCTCTTGCCTCGATCTTCAACAAACTGTACAGTCCTCTGACTTTACGCTAGAGAGTGAGGGCTTTTATTTTACCCTTTATTTACTAAATCTGCCTTTTTTACTCTGTCCCATCTTGGCCTTTGCTCATGAACTAAAAGAGAGGTTTGCATTAAGACCGAGAATAAGACCCCAGCGTGCTTAGTTCGGGTGGGCAGTTTTTCGGGTTTTTTGCTTCTGTTTTCAGTTCAGCTTTTAAAGATATATTTCTCGCAGACTTTAGAGCCGTCCCAGGAAATGCTTGGGAATACCCAGAACTCTAAATCCAATCCTCTTTCTGCCGACTCCCACCGAAAAACTAGTGAAAGTGCATCAACCTCAGAGCTAGACTTCCAATAATATCCTCAGAAATGCAGAGTCTTCGAACGGCAGAGATAAAAAAGCCATGGCCCTCACGTCCTCCGAACATGTTGTTGGCTCTCACCATAAGCGAGAGGCCACTCGAGCCCTACCCCGTCTGCTCCACAAGTGCCAAGCCCCTCCCAAGGAACCCTTTACCCATCCATAGAAAGTGAGAGGACGTCGGCCAGCGACTCAGGCTTGCCTCAAGCTAAGCGCGTTTGGTCTTAGGGCAGCCCTTTATTCCTTGGTGACACCCTAAGTACATCTTTACCCTCCAAATACCCTTCTGGTGCCGGCTGCGGAGTCAGGCTGTCTGGGTGGAAAGCCAGTCATTTCCCCTCTCCAAGCCTCAGTTTACCTATCGGTCCAATAAGGCTACAATCATGTGTACCTCCAGAGTTGTATGTGTATCTTACAGAGAAGGTCATGCGGGGAAAGCCCTTAATTTACTCCCAGGCACAAGGTGACCCTGAGCAGATTGCAACGGGGCTGTCATGGCCATGGTTACCTCCTCCACCAGGATTTTGCCAGGCTTATTACTGTCATCATTTAATGTTCTTCCCAGCAAAACAAGGCACTGGCAACCCCACGTTAGTCCCTAACGGTTTTCTTTGAAGTAATCTCATCCCAAAAGCCCCAAGCTTGAGAGCCACAGCTCTGGGTGCTTGTGTATTCTTTGTATCTGACTGTCCGACACCAGGCCTGTTCCTGTCCCTGACTCTGTGTAGCTCCCCGGAGTGTGGGTGCCTATCTGGTTACTTGGAGCTGTGCTTTTCAGACCACCTGTATTTTGCTGCAATACAGACTTTGACTCCAGAGACATGGGGGCCTGAGGCTCTGCATTTCTGATAAGCCCCAGGGGATGCCAGTGCTGCTGCCTCAGAGACCCCCCTAAGGGGCAAAGAGGTGGCACACGTATGTCCTCCAACGAGACTTCCCTGCACTCTGGCATGCTTCGTGGGTTTTTCCAGCTCACCCACCCTGCTTCGAATCATCAGGGAGCTGGAAGTTCAGTGGCAAAGTTCCCCATCTCCAATCTAATTCGTTTTGAAAACTGTCATTCCTTTTGTGCTCCTATGACAGTCTTGTCATTGTCTGATTTGCACGATGTGGTTGAAGGAAGCGGACGGTGAGATAAGCGTCCTTCTCACGAGCGTTTCCTGAGAACCACAACCTAAACATGTGGGCAAGAGGATGAAAGGCCTCACGGGCAGTTGTGACTGTTGGACAGGCCTGAACGCCCTCGTGACCGTGGCCCTGGACGGAGCGGCCGACACTGGCAACGTGGCCGATCTGCTCTACCTCGAGTTCGGGAAAGGATTTGAGTACAAGACACAGTTCACCGTGGGCATGCGGGACCTCGGGAGCCGGCTGGCCAGGCAGCTGGTAAGTGAGCACGGGAGGCAGGGGAGGTCGGGCTCCACTCCCAGCCGCTCACACTCAGGGCCCGAGCTCGCGTGTGTGCGTGGGAACGGATTCTGCTGCTCTGGGGGTGAAGAAAGGTGTTTCTGAAGTAGCCTACATAAGAGGGTATTTGGAAGAAATGTACTAGAGTGGAGACACACACATCAATGCATGTTTGATTTATACGCTTGGCAAAAAAGAGAAGGAAGGAGGAAAAAAGAAGAAAAGCATAGAGCTCGCCTGAAAGCATGCCTGAATGACAGCCAGTGGACACAGGTGACAAGGAGAGTCTGAGACGTGAGGTGGGTGGGCCATGCCTCGGCCACCAGGGTTCAGCCGCCCTGTGACTCCTAGCATAAGAGCTTGCCACACAGGACATGATTCTGGTGGTTGAGTTGAGTATTTTTTTTCCACTACACAGCCTTTAAATGAAAGCAAATTACAGCCAGAGGCTGGGCACAGTGGCTCATGCCTACCACTCTGGAGGCTGAAGCTGGAGGATTGCTTGAGCCCAAGAGTTCAAGACCAGCCTGGACAACATAGCGAGACCTCGTCTCCACAAAAAAAAGTAAAAGATTAACCAGGCGTGGTGATGTGCACTTGTAGTCCCAGCTACTTGGGAGGCTGAGGCAGAAGGATCATCTGAACCCAGGAGGTCGAGGCTGCGGTGGGCCGTGATCATACCACTGCACTCCAGCCTGGGCGACAGAGTGAGACTCCAACTCCAAAAAGGAGAGAAAAGAAAAATATCAGCCAGAGTTGAGCTAGACCAAGAGTAGTCAGTGTGGATGCTGGAGGGAACCCCATGACAGAGACCTCGTAGGTACGATGAGACTGGGAGATTCGTACAGGCTGTCACTACCCTGAGATTTCCACCATGGATTCTGGTTTTGGAGCCCAGTTCCTACAGATGACGCAGCTCAGCACCCTTTCTCTGAGAGCTCAGACTCGGGAGCTCAGTGCTGCTGGGGTTTGGGCCTCCCTTTGGTCCCCACTTCACCCAGTTTGACATCAGGTACACTTATTGATGTTATGTGCCTCCCCTGTTTTTTAAGTTCTAGTTCCATAAATTATAAATTAAGCATAGGTTTCCTCAGCACTTTGTGCCTTAGAACATTGTAGCTTAGAAACTTGTTCATTGCTTAAGTCAACTTTCCATTTTTTTTAACCCCCCTCGGGGATGAGCAAAGTTTCATCTCATGCTAACTGTAAAAAGAACTCTATGTTTGGTAGTCCTACACTTAATAACTAAGTAAACTAACAGTAATTCCTGCTTGAGGCACTATGTTTTGAAGCATTTTGTGGCGCCTTTCAACGACGGGGTGGTGATGTGATCCACTTTCATTCTGTAAGCTCCGACACCGGCTGTGAGGACACTTCCCAAGGCAGGCTGACTCCTTGCTGTTGGCCACCTGCAGAATTTACATATAAATAGGCATCCACACACTGTTTGTCCAGTATAGTGTTTACATAAAAAATAGTGACTTGAAGAATGTGAGTTTGGTTGGAATTCCTTCCTACATGGGGGACAGTGTTTGTTTTGCAAAATGTATTTTTCCTGTCCTCTATTCTTTGAAACTTGTATTCGTGACTCACAGAGGGAGAAATTATTCCCCAGAACAAAGCCGTCAGTTTTTAGATCTCACATAAGTGAAGCTCTGTCTAAGAAAAACTTAATCAATTTAATGTTAATAGTAATAGACTTGACGCTGTAGGATTTGGACGATCCAAAGGTTGATCCCATCTCAGATGAAACCAGAGTATCCATTCTGTGGCTATTGTTTGACTTCACGCATTTTCAGTTTTATTGCTTTTGTTGAAAATTTCAGGGGAAAAAGAGAATTTTATAATGTCAAAAGAGGAGCATCCTAGGACAGGAAATCATCGGAGGAAGAATATTGCTCAATGGCCCCGACAAAAGATTTTCATTCTTCATTGCCCTAGAAATTTGATGGAAACTTTATAATACAAGGGTTGATTCTGCCCCAGTGAAGGGACGCATAACACTTACTGCATTCAGAATTTTTCTAAAAGTACATCTGATGAGTTTAATGTGAGGCTGCCCATCAGCTATTCAGGCGATACAAAGTCCAGAGGAAATTCATTCACATGTCTAAATAGAGACCACGTTTTCTTTGGCAGGGTATAAAGGGCACTGTCCTCCCCATGTCTGTCTTCCAAAGTGCTTCCCAAATGTTGGCCGTGTCACGGGCCTTTTGAAATTTTATCAGAAGTGTTCTGGAAGCCTTCACCCCCGGACTCAGTTCCAAGATGTGTTCCGTGGGACACTGCCTGAATCCCCTAGGGTGCCGAGATGTCAGATGATGGGGAACGAGGGAACAGCAGGCTTTCATGTTGCTGAACGAAGCACTGGAGCAGAATCACATGGGGGAACCCACAACACCACGGTCAACGCCAGGGTGGGGTGGGGACAGGTCGCCACCCTAATCACGGGTTTCAGGGGTTGGCAGTGACCAAGCTGATAGCAGTTGAGCACAAGACCGTTTCTGAGTTGGTCTGGGTTTCCTCGAATGTGGAGAACGCAGGTCGCCGAAGGAAAGGCTGGAGCGACAGGCCGTTCTGGTCTTCTTTCCAGAGCACAGTCGTTTTCATGGTGAACAGGCTTCTCGCTGTGATGGTTGTCTGGACCACGCAGTGGAGCTTGTGTGTGTGACCCCGGAATCGCGGCCGCCACATGTCATGGATTTCCCACCCTCTCCAGGTCAACGTGGCCGAAAGGACGTGCTGCTGTTTGTTCTGCAAGTGTATCGGAGGAGACGGCCCCATGGGAGACGCTGGAACCCCAGGGAAGAAGGTGATTTTAGCTCAGATTTCTGGGTCTCGATTTGAATCGTGGGATGCCTTTCGGATATGCCTCTAGGTACAAATAGGGGTGATGTTTGCTTCTAGACAGCGTTTGAGTTTACCGTTTGTTAGACGTTTCTTTTTATGTGTGAAATTAGATAGTCATGATTTTCCTCGGTATTCTACGTGGGAGTCTTTTTAAGGTTTGTATAGAAGTCTCAGGAGAAACCACTGTCACAATCCTTGTCAACCGAGTGTTATAACAGTGATGACATTGAGGCAGAAAAAACAGCTATGTTCCCTTGTATTGAATAATGAAAACTTCTTCCACACAACCAACGCATTTCAGCATTCATTCTTAATGCTGACGGAGTTATTAAAATCAAGCTGAAGACATTATGTGTAGTCTGCTGAAAACCAAGCCGGACCAGAACACGCTCCTGTAGCAAAAGATGTTAAGCTGTTTCATTCAGCTTTAGCCAGCTCAAGATGTTATCACAGACAATTACACAGAACAAGCCGATTATTAAAAAACAGAACTCAATAGTGTTGGCTCGTGGATGAATATTTCCTAACCAAAACATGTTTGTGTGCCTTTGAGTAAAAATATTATTTTGAACTTTAAGAAATGTTCAAATATGTATAAGCACTCTATGGAGGTGTTAATGATTTTCATACGACTTGTTTACATGTGTTTTGGATTTTTAAATAATTTATAGAACACACTAAAACTCCCAGATCACCAGGGCTGAGTCTCTGAATAGTCTTTAAACTAATTATTTCCTGAAGGCTTCAATTTCAAATATAGAGAGTGGCAGAATTCATTTTTTAACTGGGCTCAGAAAAAAATGGAAAGAAATGTGTGTGGTCTGTTTTTCTATATCTACCATAAGTTCTAAATGATTTTTTTAAATGAAGAGAGGATAATTCAGGTCTGTCGGGGCAAATATAGCAGTGTTGACTTTAATGTTTGTCTGGAAAGAAACTTCAGCACTATATATAAACCCAGAGAAAGTTGCAGACAGTATTATAATTGTCACACACACGCACACACACCCTTGAGTTATCCAGATAACTTGTCTCAAATTCCATTTCTTTTTTTCTTTTTGAGTTGGAGTCTTACTCTCTCACCCAGGCTGGAGTGCAGTGGCATGCTCGCGGCCACCGCAGCCTTGACCTGCTGGGTTCAGGCCATCCTTCCGCCTCAGCCCTCCAAGTAGCTGGAACTACAGGCGCGCGCTACCATGCCCGGCTAATTTTTGATTTATTATAGAGATGAGGTCTCACCAAGTTGCCCGGGCTGGTCTTGAACCCCTGGACTCAGGCAATCCTCTTGCCTCAGTCTCCCAAAGTACTGGAAATATAGGCATGAGCCACCGAGCCCGGCCTCAAATTCCATTTCTTTTGTGTGTAAACACAACCTTCATCCAAGAGGGAGGACTGTTTCTTTTTTCATAGTCTTAAAATTCCACGTGCAGGAAAGCTATAAAGTTGAGGCATTTTGCTTGGTCACGGAATTTTGTTTGGCTCATGGATGCCAATGTTTTCTGCCTTTTCTAACTTCCAGGGAGCCCCCGGCTTCAAAGGCAGTGAAGGCCACCTGGGAGAGGAGGGCGTCGCTGTAAGTCGAGGCTCTGTGCCTCCGGAGGGTGTGCTTGAAGTCCTGTCTGCTGCGTGAACTTCCCCGCGTCAATTCAGAGGGCGGCGGCAAAGTCAGATTCCAAGGGTTTGTGGGCAGAGTCTCAGGTCTCGCCTCATCCTCACTGTGCCTTCATTCTGGGGTCGTTCTTGGTTCGTTAAGCTCCTGTCTCCTCCTGGACGATCCTCCCACTCCCACGATGAGTTCGGCTCGCAAGTCGTCTTCCTCGCTAGGGCGTAGCGTTCCCCACCCTGGCGCGTTCTGCCCGGGTGAGCCGGCCCCCAAGGACCTCGCGCCTCCTTGCGTGCGGCCATCCACCCTCCTGTCCTCCCTTTCATCATCCCGTCCACCCAGACATTTGTTTACCAGTTGTAACTAAACATCTTCCCGTTCTCCACAATATTATCGAAGACCTCATGCGTTAATACACATATTCATTCATGAATTCACTTAGCAAATGTACATTAAGGGTTTTAACACGTGCTAGGTAGGCACAGTGTCATCTCCAGAAGCGTAAAGGAAAAATGGGTTTCTACCTCAGGAAACTTCCGGACTGGAGGAGAGGCGTGTGCGGTAGCAGGGTCCTAGCTGTTCCCCCCAGGGGCGGTGTTGGCATAAAGAAGAGGCACAGAGGGGTGTGGCAGAACTCGGCTGAAGGGGGAGAGCCCTGGCGGCGCTGGGCTGGAGAGGGGAGGTGCCGGCAGGCACTCGAAGGACGAGTAGGAGTGTCCCCAGGCAGAGACTGTGGGAAGACCGTCCTCCTGCCAAGGGAGCAGTGAGTTCAAGGGCCCGTGTCTGACTCAGAGATTCGCAAGCTTGCAAGGGCGTGTGACTAACATGGCTGGCACCCCAGGCACTAAGAAGGAGGCTGTGTGTGGCAGGCAAGACCCAGGCCGTTGGGGGTCTTGAAGACCCGCCGGAGGTCGGGCTGTGTCTTCTGGGTGGTGCGTGGCCCTGAATGGAGCACAGGGGTCAGAGCGACGGGTGTTGAGGGAGCACGCTCAGGCAGCAGCTGGTGCGGCAGGGCAGGGGCTCAGGCAGAGGCTTGCCATCACAGGTCAAGGCCAAGAGGGCCTAATCCGACTGGGGTATGGCTAGACACGCTAGGGAGGTTGGAAGAACGTCCCTGGAGACCGTGTGAGGCGAGGCACGTCCCCCCGGGCCACGGGCAGGCGGCACCAGGGCATAGGGCGGCCTCCGGGCAAGTCTGATCGGCTTCCACTCTGGCTCTCGTGAGGGAATTCTGGTCGTGAGCCAAGAGCAGTCCCACGTTTTCCTCCACCAAAAACACACCACGTTTCCAAGACAGACCCCAGATCCCAAGGGCAAAGACTCACCTGGCTCTGTTCTTTCTCAGGGAGAGAGGGGAGGCCCCGGACCAGCCGGAGAGCGAGGCTCCAAGGGCTGCCACGGCACCCGAGGCCCCAAGGTGAGAGTCGCGTGGATGGTGGGCTAACACCATAGCACGCACTCCATGCCCCACGCTAACTGCTGCTGTGCTTTCTCTCTCCAGGGCAACCGGGGACTGAACGGGCAGGAGGTAGGTGCCGGGCACAGCCCCGAAGCTGCCCGGCTGTCGTCTGGAAATGCTTTCATTTTTCAGACGGGTGGCCACTGGGCAGCACAACCGTAGTTCCAGCTGGCTTTCCGTTCTCGTTGCCAGCCATCCCCCTGCGCCTGCTCCTGTCTCTTGTTGCAGGCGATGTGTGCTGTTTGTTGATAATGTCTATGGCCGAGGACTCCTCGGCATTACCCAGGCTCTGCCTAGCAGAGAGGCGGCCCGAAGAGCCCACGCGCAGATGTCGTGCGTGGCGTCTCGCTCCTCCCACTCGCTGGGCCGTCCCCTGTTCTAACCACCTCTGTCCTTCCAGGGAGCAGCTGGGGAAAGCGGCCTTGACGGACTAAGTGGAGAGCAGGTAGCGCCTTCTCCTGGCCCCCCGGGGACCCTCCTGAGCCGTCTCCCATCACGAATGTGGGGGTTTGAGCTTCTCCTTCTGCTTTTAGGGCGACAGTGGCCTTCCTGGAAGAAAGGGAGAAAAGGGCGACGCGGGGGCCCAGGTAAGGTTTTTGTCAAGGGGCAGCATAAAAGCCGCTGGGACTACAGGTGAGGTTAAGAGCGGAACAGCCACCCAGTGTCACCAGCTGTTGCCACGCCGTTGCTTTCTGACAGTAGTAGAGCCTCAGTCACACAGCCACAGACCATTGTTTCTTGCGTGTCTGAGGGTTCCGCTGACCCAGGCTGGGCTCACACGCCTGTAGGTGGCCAGGGCTCTGCCCCACGTGACTCAAACTCCCAGGACCAGAGCCAGCCTGGCTATGGCAGGAGCTCGCGGAAACATGCTGGCGCTCGCCGAAGATTCCCGGGCTTAGGCTGGGCACCTTCACAGCATGTCCCAGTGTCCCAGGTGTCTGACCAGACTCGGGGAGGGAGTCATGTTCTCCGCGCCGTGGATGGAAGTCTCCGCAGGGCCGCCTGGGGAGCAGAGGGCTGGGGCCGTGTCTGAGCAGGGAAGCAGGGCGCCCGGGGTGTGCAGGCACGGTGGCGCCTTGGGTCGGCCCCATGTCCCAGCTAGAGTGAACCCCGGCGGCAGCTGCCCCTCCGGCATCTGCTTGTCCTTGGGGTGTGGACACTTGAGGGACCCCTGCCTCCCAGCTGAGCACCTACCAGGGCACAGTGCACAGTCCTGCTGAATCTCAGCCACCTCGTCAAGAGCGATCGTACACCCAGAACAGTGTAAACGCTGAACACGGTGGCAGGTGCGTCTGGAACACAGAGCTCCCCGCGGGGGCAAGAGGCTGAGTTCCCTCTTCAGTGATTTCTGTGATGCCCGAGGCCAATTTTTTGGTGCTTCCTCTTTTCCGTTAAAAAAAACCACCTTACTTAGCTGGGAAATTTTTAGTGACTCATACCCGGGAGTCATTCACGTCATTGAAGTTTGGTCTTGTTCTTCTCATCTGTGTTCACCTAGGGTAGCCCAGGAAAGAGAGGGACTTCTGGTGACCACGGAGCCAAGGGACTGCGAGGGGACCCCGTAAGTGCCTGGGCCAGGGGCCGCGGGTCGGCTTGGCACCCGTCGGTGCTGCTGGTAGGGAGGGAGGCTCGTATTGTCAGGCACGGCAGTAACACCTGCTGGGCTTGTACACACGGGCGGCTGGGCTGGCTCCTCCACGCACTGACTGGGCATGGACAGCCTAGGGCCCTCGCACGTCGTTTGCATGTGCGACTTTGAAACGCACCTCGGAATCGTCTTATGCTTTGGAGGGGTGAAGGAGGTCCAGTCCCCTCTATTATCCTCCCTCCGATCCCTCCAAATATGGAAGAGAAGGACCCGAGGCAGCACCTCTTTTCTGTTCTCCAAGAGTTTTTCTTGGTTGGGAATATGAGCTTCATTGCCCAGAATCCAAGCCAGGGGGAATCAGGCAAAACATGCCATCACCCAGCCAGCAGGCATGACCCACACGAAAATCCACCCCACCCAAGGGACGTGCCACGGCCACGGGGGCATCTGCATGGCAGGGCTCCACCCCCGTCCACACTCCAGGCTCCGAAACCTCCTTCAGGGTCTGCGGAGCTACGGCAGACGTCAGAAAAGAGCACAACTACAAAGGCACATTCATTGTAGTGCCGGGTGCGACGGCTTACACCTGCCATCCGAACACTTTGGGAGGCCGAGGCGAGAGGATCGCCTGAGCCTGGGGGTTCAAGACCAGCCTGAGCAACATGGCAAGACCTTGTCTCTCAGTAAATAAAAAAATTAGCTGGGCGTGGTGGTGCGTGCCTGTAGTTCCGGCTACTTGGAATGCAGAGGCGGAGGAATTGCCAGAGACCAGCAGGTGGAGGCTGTGGTAGCTGTGAGCTTGCCACTGCACTCCTGCCTGGGCGACAGAGACTCTTACAAACGCACACTCATGAGTGTGCGTGTACCTGTGCAGTCACCACCCAGGTAAGGAACCGAACACCCAGCACCACTAGCACCCAGGCCCCTCCTGCCACCGCAGTTGCTCCCCGCCGTCCAGGGGACTGCCGTCCCACGCTGTGCATTAGTTTTGCCTGTTGAGCGACCTTCATATATGTGGAATGACCTGGCGTCTCCTTGTCTGTGTCTGATGTATTTTGCTCAACTTTGCGCTTGTGAGGTTCATCCAGACTCACGTTGTACGGCAGTTTACTGTACGAATATCCCATGACTGAATGATTGATTTTTTATTTTTGAGTTGGAGTCTCACTCTGTCGCCCAGACTGGAGTGCAGTGGCACGCTCACAGCCACTGCAGCCTCGACTTGCTGGGTTCCAGTCATCCTTCTGCCTCAGCCTTCCAAGTAGCCAGAACTACAGGCACATGCTACCATGCCTGGCTAATTTTTTTATTTATTGTAGAGACGAGGTCTCGCCAAGTTGCCCAGGCTGTTCTTGAGCTGTGGGCTCAGGCAATCCCCTCACCTCGGCCTCCCAAAGTGCTGGTATGACAGACTGAGCCACTGAGCCCGGCCTCTATGATTTATTTATCCACAACACGAGTGGTCATTCTTTATATCATTCCCAGTTTTGGCTATTACGAATCGCATTACTGTGAATATTCCTGTGCGTGTCTTTGGTGTGATTTTGCACAGGTTTATATCAGGTTTACACCCAGTTAGGGGTAGAAATTCTGGATGGTAACATGGTGGCCATACCCCGCATCTTTATAGCCAAATAGTTTCCAAAAAAGTTTGCACGGACTGACCGGCCCACCTGCAGTGTGTGAGAACAGTGCACCGTGCAGCCATCAGAATGACCGAAGTTTATAAAAACTGACACCACCAGTTGCTGATGAGGATGCGGGCCGACCAGGACCCTCAGGGCCTGTCTCTTTAATACCGCCCCCGCCGGTATACAGTGGGTGGTCAGAGAAGGAATTTGGCGCAATGCATGCCAGCTGATGTAATGTCAGGTAACTTTAGTTAAAAAGCAAGGAATCTGCACTTGAGGACGACATTGTTTCCTAAGTGACATCTTCCATTAATAATCTGGTGACCTGAGAGTTTTCAAACAACTTCCAAGTATCTAATTTAGATACTCATCCTTTTCGCCTAAATACAGTTTTCAAATACTGTGATTTATGCATACCCTGCTTGGAGAACTTAAGAGACAAATATTTAAACTTAAAGGGGAACAAGAACATATAGAAAATGATCTTTGGCTTTGGAGGAAAGAAGCCGATTTTCAGGTCCCTTGGAGTGGCACCCGATGCATGAAATCGAAGCCCTCTAGCCTGGAAGCTCTGGAAGGGCAAAGGCCAGGTGTTTAACAGCTTGCCAGGCATCTGGAGCAGCACTGGGTCTCTGCTGGCGCCCGCAGGCTGGGATGGCCTTTGGCCCATCAGCCTACTGGGGCATCAACTGTGCCCGTGGGCTCTGCTGATGGTCTCAGCGCCAGGGAGACACAGCTCCGCCTGTGGCCCCGCTGCCCACGTTAGAAGGGATACGCTTTGGTCTGCGAAGGATACGCTCCCACAACATGTGCCTGTTTCCAGCGAGCTCCTGCTGGCACGTTGGCATCAATGTTGGGGAAAACGCAAGACTTCAGGATTTCTGAAAACCAGGAAGGTCTGGGGGAGCCTCTGGGGGCACCCGGTGTCCAGGCGAGGAGGGCAGGCACGGTCCTCAGCATTGCCCAGTATGCTTCTGCCGGGGCCCTCTTACAGACACGTCCTTCTCCCAAGGGTGGTGGACAGTCGTTTCTGCCAACTCCCAGGAATAATGTGCCTGGGCTCCATGAAAAAAGAGGGGCATTCAGAGACAGGGTGGCAGTCACAAGAGGGGTGTCCCAGGACAGGTAGGAGCGGTCACAGTACCATCCCCCGCCTCCCCTGCCATGCCGTGGGCGCACTTGCTTTCGCCCACACACTCTCTGCCCGTCTCCATTCTCCCTCTGATGACGTCAGGCACAGAGGAAGAGAAAACACGAGAAAGCGTTTGTAATCGTCACCTGCTTCTGCCTTCCGATGGGCTGGACTTCTCAACTGTTAAAGGTGGAAGTTGCACTTTTAAGGAGAAATGTTCACACCTGTTCATTTTTCCCTTTGTTGTCTACCTTGTAGGGAGTTCCTGGATTTGACAGTCCTGGAGAAGGACCCTCGGGCTTGAAGGGAGACCGTGGACGACAAGTAATTATGTGGGCATTCGGGAGTAGCTTGTAAATGGTGGGGCCGTGGCTGTGAGGCTCGAGTGCCCGTGGAAGACACGCAAGGCCTCATAAAAAATGTGGACTCTGAGTGGAGATACTTGGGACAGAAAAACCACTGCGAGGAGCAAAAAGACCTCCGCTCCTGCCTGTGGCTACCCCGGGCCTTGAGACACTCTCCTCTCGCTCCTGTCCCTGTGGGGTGACCTGCTTCACCAAGCTGTGCCCCGAGGTCTCCTTCCTGAGCACAGACACCGGGACTCCTGCTTCAGGTGCAGGGGAGGCCGGCAGAAGGGACTGGGTTAGCGAGAGACGTGCCGGGTCCCCGTGTCTGGAGGACGCGAGCCTAGGAGACGCACTGCTAGTGGTTAGAGATAAAAAGAGCAAGCGCTGGTAGATCCCTACGGCCACACCCTTGGGGAAAGTCTCTCGGGATTAACCTCAGGAAACCTCACAGGTCACACTCTGCTCGTCTTAACCTGCCTCTCGGGGGTTTAAAAGACCGTCGTCTCGAAAGCATGTGTCTCTGGGTCTTCGTGATGAGAAGGCTCCCTGGATGGTCCCTGGGGGAGACGTGTGGCCCGTGGGGAGAGCTTGGCCTTGGAGACAGGCCTGGGTCCCGCCTCGGGCACGGGCCCCTCCCGGCTCTGCGGCCTCGCGCTACTTTCCGGAGACGTCGGTTTTCTCATCTGCAAAGCGGGGTGAATGGCCTGCTTTGGAGGGTGATGGCGGGAATGGAGCGACTGGCCCTGACACCCCCAGTCAATGGCGCCTGCCCTTGTTAGCGAGTGGGAAGTGTAAGTTTCCCTGGAGACTCATACCTGATTCCCCACTTTCATGTCTTGGGGAGACTGGCAGCAGGAGACTTGATCTGCTGCGAGGTGTTAACCTGCACAGGTTAGCCAAACAGGACAAGAAACCCAAAGGTCGACATCCAAACCAGTAGCAGCCATCTCCGGCACGTGGTAGGCTCCACTTATCCACACCGGGGCGTCGTAGTAGGGATGGTTTGATCTGAATGCTCCGAGGCGTGTAGCCCACACGCAAGCTGGCCAGCGGCGACGACCAGGTGAAGCCAGGTACCAGCGTTCTGTCCCGCCATTCCTCATGGCCCGTATCGAGGCGGGATTTGTGACCGGCGGACGTGAATGCCACCTTCCAAAGGGAAGGGAGCACTCTCTTTGGCACAAACCCATCCACCCCAGAGTGCAAGCTGAGGTTACTGAGGAACTGTGTCCATGCTGTGAAATGACCGTCACGCGTCTGTCTGTTCCTTCGACAGGGAAGAAGAGGCTGGCCGGGACCCCCCGGAACACCAGGCTCCAGAAGAAAGACAGTAAGAGTCCTTCTAGACAAGGAGACCCACTGCTCTGGGCGCTTGTTTGGTGACGCACGTGGCTGATTATGGGGGCGGGCAGGATGGTTCTGCGGGGCTGACCCTGCCGCCGGGGAAACTGATCCAGTCCACCTCTCAGTAGAGGGCTGGGGAAACCCCACCGGGAGAGCTGGGCAGAGAGGACAAGGTGAGCAGCCAACCTGGGGGAGCGTGGCCAATGTCTGGCCTACTCGCTAGGCAGAGATTGCCCATGATGTCACTTCAAGTCCCAACTTTACCCCCTGCCAAATTCTGTGACTGTTGATAAATGTCAGGTCATGAATCAACCGCCAAGGCTGGCGTCCAGAAGCGTTTCCTTCCAGGACTTTTATGGTTTAAGTCATTGATCCAGCATGAGTTAATGTTTGCATATGGTGAGAGGAGGGTGCTTAGCTTCATTCTTCTGCATGTGGTCAGCCAGTTTCCCTAGCACCATTTACTGGATGAGGTGTCCTTTTCCCCATGTTTATTTGTGTCAACTTTGCTAAAGATCAGTTGGTCATAGGCCAGCAGCTTTCTTTCTGGCTTCTTGATTCTGTTCCACTGGTTTACGTGTCTGTTTTTGTGGCAGTACCATGTTGTTTGGGGTTATGATAGCCTTGTAGTAAAGTTTGAAGTCTTCAAAGAGAAATGCGGCAGAAACCAAAATTGACAAGTGGGACCTAATTAAACTAAAAAGCTTCTATACAGCAAAAGACACTGTCACAGAATAAACAGACAACCTACAGAATGGGAGGAGATATTTGCAAACAATGCATCTGACAAAGGTCTAATATCTAAAATCTACAAAGAGCTTAAGCAAATCAACAGGAATTTTTAAAATAAGAAGAAGGACCCTACTAAGACGTGAGCAAAGGACAAAAACCAACACTTCTCCAAAGAAGACACACAAGTGGCCAAAAAACACATGAAAAAAGACTTAGCGTCACTAATCATCAGAGAAATGTAAATCAAAGCCACAATGAGATACCACCTTACACCAGTCAGAATGGCCATTGTTAATAAGTCAAATCACAATGCTTGTGGGTGAGGTGGTAGAGAAAAGGGGACGCTCACACACCGCTGGTGGGAATGTAAGCTAGTTCACCCCCGTGGAAAACAGTTTGAAGACTCCGGAATAATCGATCTACCATTTGACTCAGCAATCCCACCATTGGGAATCTACCCAAAGGAGCATAAGGCATTCTGCCGACAAGACACCTGCATGCATGTTTATCTCCGCACTATCCACAGTAGCCAAGACACGGAACCAGTCCGGGCACCCATCCAGGGTGGGCTGGACAAAGAAAGCAGGGTATACGCACGCCATGGGACACGGCACAGCCACAAAGAAGAAAGAAACCATGTCCTCAGCAGCAAGGAAGATGCAACTGGAGGCCACCATTCTCTTCCTGTTTGTTTTCTTTTTTGGGGAGGGCATCGTTCTAAGCAAATTATCTCAGAAACACAAAGCCAAATGCACATGTTCTCACTCAAGGGTGGGAGCCGCAGACACTGGGGACTTCTGAAGGGAGAGGCAGGGCGGGCAACAGGGGCTGAAAACCCACCCCTGGGTTCCATGCTCACCACCTGAGTGAGGGGCTCCATAAAGCCCAGACCCCAGCATCACACAGTATACCCATGCGATAAACCTGCAGGTGGACTCTGTGAATTTTACATTTTAAAAATGTAAAAAATTTAAAAATCACCTCAGAAAAGGGAAAAGTCAGAGAAAAAAATGTCAGTCCTGAAATAGACATATCTGAGAGTGAAAATAGGTCACTTGCATATAAAACCCTTTGGTTTCTTTTGTGATTTATTTGTTTTATTTTGTTATGTTTTCATTAAGCACTTTATTTCCGTGCTTTCTCGGAAAAGCACACGGATTATAAAGGAACATCTTCATTCAATAAAAAGAGATAACTTCTATGAAACATACTCAAATGCCTGTGTTAGGGTCTAACTTTGGTCTGCCTTGTCTCATTTTGCAAGGTTTTCTTTCCTTCCTTCTTTTAGTTATCCAGCCTTGGCCACCTTCCTCCACGCCCACCCAAATATAAAATGTGGTAAAATGAAGCACAAATAAAAATGAGCTTGGTCTATTGCATTTATTTTACGCTGTATTTTGGGGCAGAATAAACTCCTAGACCCAGTCGTTATACTCCGTCAGAAAAACTACTTCTGCATCTTGGAGCAGCCCCAGGTCCTTTGCAAGGCAGAGAAAATGGTCCCAAGAGCAAAGATGGCATCTGGAAGGTGTGGGATGTGATCGCGGAAGAGCGCTTAGAAGGCTGCTTTAACGCACATGAAGGTCAGAAATGCACTGGCTATTCATTTCGCTTTCTCAGAGGGTGCAGTGAGCTTACGTACCCCTGGAAAATATTTCCAACTTAAAGAATACTGTCCAGGAAATCCTGGCACAAAAGGACGTGCGTTTGCTGTTATATGACTTCCAGGGGGAAGGCAGCATCTCTGCATTATTTAAACCGCACGCTCCCGAGAAACACAGCCCCACCCTGGGTTCAAGATCCAGCCGTGTCATTCAGGAGTCAAAATAGGACTTCTAGTTAAAGACGGCGGAGTGAAGCCTCTTTCAAACTGCTCCTCTGCTGTGCAACTCACCAAACACGCCCAAAGATGGTAGAGACAAAGAACAACCACAGCTTCAAGCTACAAATGATGACAAACACGGCCGGCTCTGGCTAACCCTAAGCCCTAAAGAGTGGGGATTCGGGGAGATGACCTCAGGCTGTCGCTGCCTAGAAGTCACTGCCACCATCCTGACAGAGCTGTGAGCAAAACCCAGAGACGCAGCAGATCCTGAGAAAGACACTGCGGATCCTGAGAGACACTGCAGGTTTTGAGGGGAGCAGGGAGCATGCCCGTGGAAACACAGTTCAGTGGAGGAGGCAGATGACTGAGAGACTGTATTATTTACAACTAGCACCCAAGGCCCTAGGGGCCGCAACCGATGAGGGAGCTCGCGGTGACTGTCCCAACACAGGGCGACTCTGACCCCGGGGCCTCGTGTGAATGAGTCTCTGAAAGTCAAAAGTGGAAGGAAGGAAGGCGGAAGAAGTCATTCGTTCGATGAGGAAGGGTTTGGGACAGCATATCTGTGTCAGAGCTACCAGCTCTCCCAGCTACAGTTCCCATCATGTCTTTGGTGTCCCTGTCCACAGATGGCTAATGATCAGAGCCATCAAGAATCTCTTATCAGTTACGTGATTAATCAGGAACTATGTAGAGAAGCTGCAAGAGAGAGAAAGCGCAAAGGGCAGATCAATTCTCATTAGACAAGGAATTGTGCGAGGAAAACCTTGAACTCTGGCAAGTACGTCTTCCAAGTCTCAAAGAAATGAAGACATCATTGCTCTTTTTTAAAAGGGTTGAAGAATCTACACGACAACAGAAAGTGAAGAAAGTGAGGTGGTTTTCCCAGGGAACAGCGAAAGGAATACGTGGAAGGAAAATGCTATGAGCTCTGTTCCCACCTGATGGTTCCAGTGCTTTCTGTTGTGTTATTTTTCTTCTATTTGGGTACAAGGAAATGCACAGTAAGTCCCCTGTAGGCGAACGAGTTTTGTTCCAAGAGCACATTCACAAGTCCAACTTGTTCGTAAGTCCAACCAAGTGAGCCTAGGTACCCAACTCACACAACTGGCTCCCGAGTACCAGCTGTATCCCTGTTGCTCTTACCCTCACTTCCGACATCCTGGGCTTGAAATAAAGATACTGTCCCCTACGTATGAACCCCCAAATTACGAAATCTCAAAGATTTTATTTTTAAGATAGCTTGAAGAGCGCAACCCCTTTTAAATCAGAAATGCCACTGTTTAGAAGTCTGTCTGTAAGAACATATGACAAGACGTCAAGAATCATGATGACCAAATGCTAATGAGAGTTATTTCCAGATGGAGGATTTGGGGTGGTTTTTACATTTTTATTGTGTGTTTTCTGCATTCAAATATTTAAAATCAGTGTGCATCATTCCTATCACAGTAAAGTCACTCTTTGAGAAAGTAGAAAAATCTTCGGCGTTCACTGCACGACTCTGAACTGTGGGCAGAACGAGCGTGGGAGACGCCTTGGTGCACGTAGATTCCACTGGTGACAATGGGGGCAGCCAGCAAGAGGAATGAACAGCAGTTGGCCAAACCTGACCTTGGCTCGTGCGAACACATTTCTTGACCCCAGAGCCAGCAACTTGATTGACTACTAGAGCTGCCCACTCAAGACGTCGCCCCCCTCCGGGAGCTCAGAAGCACGCTGCAGGCCACGGTCTTTCAACTCAGCACCGCTGGCGTCTGGTTCAACAGCTCTTTAACAGCTTGTTGTGGGGACCGTCTTGGCCATCGTGGGAGGCTCACCTCGGCCGCAGCCTCCACCCCTGAGTGCCAACAGCACCCCAACTGGTGACAGCGAAAACCGTCTCCAGCCCTTGCTGACTGTTCCCTGGACCTGCCGGCCACCAAGCTATCTCCAGCGCCATGCGAGGACACGATGAACGGGGGACAGGGAAGGGAGACGGGGGCTTGGCTCTGCCTGAGCCGAGCTGAGACTTGGGACAGATCCTGCCGGGGGTAACGGGAGTGGCGGTAGCCTTAGCCACCCCGTTCCTGTGCCACCCCAGGGATGGGGGTCATGCTTTGCCCTCCCGTTGGCAGCTTTTGAGGCCTCCTGAAGTGCCCGCCACACTCCTGCCTCATCTGAATGTGAGCCACTAAGACGCAGAATTCAGGGATGTGAATGTCCCACTTCCTCCCTGAGGATTCTCCGCGCCACGTCCGTCCCCATCTACCCAGGAACGCGGGCCTGGGCGTCAGACAGAAAGCAAGCCAGGCTGTGGGCCAAGGGGCCGAGGGTCCTGTTCTGCATCACCATCTTCTTGGGAGGTTCTTTATGGACGTGCCACTCGCATTCCTTCTGAAGATGAGTCCGGTTGTCTACCAGTGTCCCCAGGCATCTGCAAGCCCTCCAGCCACCCTCAGGGCGTTTTGGGATTTCCTCTTCCTGCATGAAAGTTTGAAAAGAGTAGGCGAAACTGCCAAACCCCTCTCCCCATTTCCTTGCTCTCCCTCCGCCTCTCAGCCTCCCCCGTGACTGTCTCCCATGACTTCAATCCCAAGCAGCCGTAGACACAGGGGCCTGCGACTGCCCAAGGGGGCTCCTGTTATTGGTGCGCGTCGGGGGTGAAGCCTGTCTCGCCCGCCAGGGGCGGGAACCTCATGAGCATAGGATGCCGTCTGCCATTTCCATCGAGCCTCGAAGACACGCGGTACACACAGTTCTTGATGGCGGTTCAGACGTCGAGCCAGAGAAGACGCTTAGCACAGAGGTCTGCCCTGGAGTCGCATACTTGAAGCTCTTCGCTGTGCCTGATGGTGGCGTTCCCGTTCTGTGCTTGCCACCGCACCAGACGCGTCCCCCCAAAGCCAGGTCTGACTGTGTGCTTCCTCTCAGAACCCCGGAGCCCTTCCGGCCTGGGTCTTCGGCCTGGCAACCCTTCTACCTCCTGTTCCTCTCACGCTTTTGACGCAGATAACTTACTGCTGCTGCCAGGTACTTGCCTCGTTTTCCTGTCTCTGCTCGGTGGCTTCGGCTGTACCCTCTGCTGGAAAGACTTTATACAGCCTCTGCCTGTAAAATTCCTACTCATCCTCTGAAACTCCTATCAAAAATTTCTTTCTCTGGGAAGATTTTCCTGATTTGACCAACTGGGTGTGATTGCCTTCCTTAGAACTCATCTCTGTCTTCTTAGGGTGTTTGCCAGACTCTGCCTTGGAAACATTTGTGGTATTTACTCCTTCCAAACCCCAAGAGTGAGGGTCTCCTGAGGTCGAGGATTGTGTGTGTCGTGTGTGGTTCCTGTCCGTGGCGTGGATGGGTAGGAGATGTTTCTTATCTCCTGGTAGAAAGCTTTCCGAAGTCGGTTGAATCGGAACAGATTGGTATGTCAAAGGAGTAGACACAGCCTCTTTTCCTCTCTGACAGAGAGGGTTTCGTCTCAGGGGGGCTCATCAGTGCTTCAAAGAAACAGGCCTCTAACCATTTCCCCAAACGCAGCCTGCCTCCGACATAACAATAGACTTTGACAGAAATAGGATCCGCAGAATTTGAAGTTTTCAACGCTGGCCTCAGAACATCTCGGATTTTTATCAAGACAATGTTGTCTGATTGTACTGAACTTTGCAAATCCTGGTTTTTGCTCTTGCTGTAACCTTTCTGAGTGATCCCAAGTTAGACAACGAAATGTCATTGTCTCTCGACTTTCAGATCTATAAAACACTGATCTGGAATACACCTAGACCCTACACTCACATAGTAGGAAAGGTCACTTGATGCGGAGTGCTATTATTGTGATTGGCTATTGTACTAAAATACTGGATTGTGTAATATTTGGATGCTTGAGATAATTCATTTTTTTTGGCAGGAAAGCATGTTATGTGCTTTATGAAAACAAATTTAGTTTGGCTAGCTTTAATTTCTGAACTTAATATATCATCAAATTCATAGAGTCAGCGCTCCAGTTTCTCCTTGGGCCTCCTGCCTCTTGGCCAGTCCTCTCCTGACTTCTGGCTTGCTTGGTAGCACTTGGGGAAAACGAAAAGAAATAAAATTCCCATCGGTCATCTTGAAGCCTGTGCACAGCTCTAGTAAAAGTCGTGGAGAGGGAATCTTGACCATAATCTGCTCTCAGAAGTGCCTGAAGATTTCGTTGTCTGTTATTATCATTGTCAGTTCTTTCAAGGAGATAAATATCCAATTGCCCCATGATAGAAATTTAGATTTGGAAACATGTTACTTTCGGGGCCAGTGGATAATTGAATGTTTTAAGCACTATATGGGAACTTGTATGTCAGTGCCTTAAGGTGTCCTTTACTCATTTAAATCAAGTAGAAAAGGCATCTTTCTGAGTTAATAATATCCACCTTTTTCTTCGATTTTAGGCAGCTCATGGCCAAAGGGGACACACAGGCCCACAGGTACAGTGATGCTTTTCCTTACTCCAAGTGGTAAGTATTTCGTGTACAAACAGGCAGCTGGAATAAAGACTCCGTAAGCCTCTTACAAGCCTAACTTCCTTTGCTGTTCAATAAGCTTGGCTATAAACTAAAATATTGGAAAAACTTGAGGGTACAATTTCAAGAATTCAAATTTTAAAAGAAAAAGAAAATGTGGACACTTTAATTTTTTAAAAATTAATGACCCAAGATAGTACTTAGCCCAATTATTGTTAAATTTAACTTTGTTTGGATTTTAAGTACAAACTCCAGTGACTTTGTAGGTGACTTTTCTTTCAGATTTTTGTTTAATGAATTTTAAAACCTTGCTTACAACAGCATAACACTTCATACAAAGTAAGAGAATACAACACAATTCTAATACAAGTTGGATATTCTGAGTATCAAAAAGTTGGTTAGACCAAAACCATATCCTTGTCTTCTTTGTACATGTTGGCAATCTGTTATATATGCTTCATGGACCTACAGTGTGGATGAAAGAGCAGTTGTGACTTAGAATTTTGCAAAACACACAGCTTCAGATTAAAAGCACAATGAGGATAAATAAGAAATCCATGGTGAAACTCTAGAATGTTAATATAGAAAGCATTTTAAAGATTTGCCAGTGAGAAAAGACAGGGTTACTCATGAACAGTGACAAAGTCGATGGCAACAGACTGCTGGTCAGCAGTGGCACATGCCAGAAGACAGCAGAGCAATGACTTGAGGGTACAGAGGAGAAATCACCGCTGACTTGGAGTTTTATACCCAGCTAAACGATGATTGACTGTGACATCGATATTTTTAGACAGACGAGGAGAGTTGATCGCCCACAGACATCACCACCCTCCACACACACTTCTTTGTCTTGGTCCAGTCCTCCTGCTGCAGCAGAACACCTTGCATGGTTCCCTTAGAAACCGCAGAGTTTTATGTCTTACAGCTCTAGAGGAAGTCCAGGAGGGAGGCACCCACAGGTTCAGTGCCTGCTGAGGGCTTGCTGTCTCTTCCAGAAATGGCGTCTTCTCGCAGCATCCACAAACGCTGGGAGGGTCTGGCAACTGCCTCAAGCTTCTTTATAAAGGCACTAAGCCACTTCCAGAGGAAAGAGACCTTATGACCTAATCCCTTCCCAGAGGCTCCACTTAATACTGTTGCGTGGGACATCCTTTGTCAACATACGAATTTTGAGGGAATCCATTCAAACCACAGCATACTTCAAGATTAGATTTCAGCAAAAAAGGAAACCAAACCCAGAAAAGCAGCATGCCAGAAAAGAAATGAGATCAGAGACAGAAGGTGTTAAGTTTCTCCTTTCTGATTTCTAGAAAAAGGTATCAGTAAGGGATATTCAACCACATCCAACTATATAACAACTGAGACATACACTCAGGCTATCCAAATAGTTGCCTAAATTAAACTTTGTGGATTTGTTCTTATTATCTTTGGAATTCTTACCTTGGCAGAATCCAAGGTCAATGGGAAGAGAATGCTCAACTTTGATCCCTAGATACTTAATCTATTTGCATATAAATATAAAGCTATGAGGTGCCCGGAGATGCTTAAAGAAAATGTGAAGTAAATCTTGAGTTTTTTAAGCCACATTTCCAAGTTAGATATAATACCAACTTCATAGAAAAAGAAGGGTGTGTGTGCACATGCACACATGGGCATGCTTGTATATAAAGACTGAAAGGATGCTGGGCTCGGTGGCTCAAGCCTGTGATCCCAGCACTTCGGGAGCCCATGGGTTCGAGAACAGCACAGGCAACTTGGCGAGACCTCATTTCTACAAGAAATCAAAAAATTAGCCGGGCAGGGTAGTGCAGGCCTGTAGTTCTGACTACTTGGAAGGCTGAGGCGGAAGGATCACTGGAGCCCAGCAATTGACCCTGGGGTAGCCGAGAGTGTTCCACTGCAGTCACAATAGAGACTCCAACTCAAAAAAAAAAAGACTGGAAGGAGATACACCAAGGCCTAGCTGTGGCTATCTCTGTTTGATGAGTTGTAGATTCCAATGTTCTTCTTTGCGTTGGCTTTTACTTTTCACATGTTTTGCAAAAGATCGGCATTGACACTGTGACCGAAAAGCGCTTCTGACCTTGCACGCAAAGGGGATCGCGTTTTCAGAGGCAGCGCTCACGGGATGATTGCTTCTCCCACAGGGAAGGCCAGGCAACCTGGGCCCCGGTGGACTTGAAGGCTCCCAGGGTCTCAAGGGCCCTCGGGTATGTATCCAGGCCAGTCACGTGTGAGAACAGGAAGCCTCTGGGAGCGGGAAGACCAAGCCAGGGTGGAAGCCCTCCAGCCCTCTTGCAGGGTACAGGTGTTTTCAGCGTTAGGGCTGCGGCACAGTCTGGTCTCCTTTGCCTGTTGTTGTCCCAGTCAAGAGGCGAAGAGAGAACGTGCTCGCGGGGCAGCAGTCCCTACGTGCTGGGCCCCAGGCGGGGAGGGCGGGCCTTCCAGGGAGAGGCTGAGCTTCCTTTGGGAACGTGTGGCCGGTCTGATGCAGCAAGAGCCCAGCATAACCTACGGGGCCCCTCGTGACACAGCAGAGCTGGCCCCACTCGTAGGAAAGAGTTGCTCGGAGGCGGCCGGGAGTCTCCACGGGGCCCCGCGGCGTGGCGGTCCGCCTGAGCGCAGGGAGGGGCGGGAGGCCCCAGCAAGCGGGAGCTGGAGGAGCCAGGCCAGACCACAGGGAGGTCAGAGCCCCGCTCCCCTCTCCAGCTGGAGAGAGTCCCGCGCTACTTGGCACAACCAGGGCAGGCAGTGGTCCTGCTGTTTCTCGAAGTTTTGATCCACATCGGTACAAGCCAAAAGTAACTTGTATGTTGGCAGCTGGCGTGCATGGAAGTTGGGCATCAGAAGAGAGAGTTTATCCACATCTCGCCAAGAGTTCAGAGCAGTAGACAGGTTCCACCTCGGACCCTTCTCTCCCTGGCGGATCAGCTTTCTCTCCCATCACTTGCCAGCTGAGGGAGACCCGCTTTTTTTTACCTTCAAGTGAGAAATAGGGACTGAGGGGGAGAGTCAGAAAGTTGGCTCCATTTCCTGCCAAGCAAGGACACTGCAGCGCCCCTCGTCTTACTGACTCTTCCTTTTCTATGACATCACTTGATTTAGAAGGAGAGGCAGAAGCCCCCTGCTGTGTGAAGGTTTCTCTGCGTGCACGTGGAAGCCACCACCAGCAGCAGTGGACTATTCCCGAAGTAGAAATAGCCAGACTCCATCTCACCACGTGCCGCCTCTTGTGACGACCAGTCTTCGGTGTGGTTATTAAGTGGGAGAAATGTGTTTCGATGTTCTCGGTTCAGAGGTATAAGAAATGTTAATGGTTTGGAATGTGAGCTGCTTTGGAGAATTAGAAAGCAGTCCCGAAAAGCTCGACCCTTCGGTGTTTTTCCCGGGCACTTGACTGCCAGCACCCAACGGCCTCCATGTCTGCTTGGCCTGCTGTGTCCCGCACACCTGGGGAGGGCGTCACAGCCCAGGAGAAGCAAAGGCATGCCTGGAGGGCTCTCACCAGCTCTGTCCGTGACACGCGTTTCCACGTGTACTATCCAGGTGTTCTCTCGGAGGGGGAAAATAACACTTTGATTCCATGTGCTCAGGGCCCAAGAGGAGAGACCGGGGCAAAAGGAGAAGAAGGAGCCCTGGGAAGCAAAGGCCCCCAGGTATGTGACACCGGACAGCATGGCCCCCGGCTTTGACTTTGGCTTCACTGTGCATGTCTGTGGTTTCTTCCCTGTCCCCTGTGAGCCAGGACAGCGCGAGTGAGTGGCGCCAGGGCCAACGTGGTGGGCGGCGCGTCCTGGCCGTGTCCTGCGGAGCGAGCTCTGTGTCTGTCAGACTCAGGGGATCTGTCCTCTGCCTCAGCTGCGTGGCCCAGGCTAACGATGCCTCCTGTGTGACCAGTCCCACCAAGCCCTGACCTCCCCACAGGGCTTCCCCTCCCAGGGTGCAGCCTTCCCTCCTGGGAAGACCACCAGACAGTCCCCTGGGCCCTCCCCAGGATACAAGTCAGAGGCCCTGGAAGTGAGCCCGGCCTTGTCATTTTAGCTTCTCCCCTGGTGACTCTAGCACAGACCTAGAGTGGGACTGCCTGCCCAATGCAAGCACACCTCCGGCTTCACGGGGCATGGGAATCCCTGGAGAACCTGTCAAAGTGCAGGTGCTGAGTCAGTCCGCCGAGGGGAGGGCCTGTGACTCTGCGTTCAAAAGCTGCCAGTGACTTGGATGTGCTGGCCTGCAGACTGCTTCTGAAGGGAAGGCGCTGCTTGACCGAGCCTTGCCTGGGGTTGCCCCAGTGTCTGCACTTGTTTAGCTGTTGGTCTGCGTCCCCTTCTGCACCGCAAGCTCCATGAGGGCCAGGACTTTGTCCCGACACTGCGCCCCCGAGCCTAGAGCCTGGCACACAGGAGGGTGCAACACAAGCCCGTGTAACAGGTTCAACCATAAGTGAATGAATGTGACACTATGGGAATGCTGGGGAGAGGGAACCCGCCACTCTGTGTCCATGAGTCAGACTGGTCAGTGACCCAGCCCCTCAGTGGCTATGACCATCTTCAGGTACGTAAGCGGCCATGTGCGCAGACTTGTGTCTCGGGACATTGGGTTAAAGCACAAAGACATTCATTCCCAGGCTTAGTGAAGGTGCTCCTTCAAAAAGCATGACAGCTGCAAAATGTCATGGGAGAACCCAATTGGTGAAAGTGACTATTTTGAGCCGAGCGCGGTGGCTCATGCCTGTCATCCCAGCGCTCTGGGAGGCAGAGGCGAGAGGATCGCCTGAGCCCAGGGGCTCGACATCAGCCTGGGCAACTTGGCGAGACCTCATCTCTACAATAAATAGAAACAATTAACTGGGCGTGGTGACATGCACCTGTGGTTTCAGCTACTTGGAAGGCTGAGGCATAAGGATCTTCTGAGCTCAGCAGGTCGAGTCTTCAGTGGCCGTGAGCATGCCACTGCACTCCAGCCTGTGCAACAGTGAGACTCCGACTCAAAAAAAGAAAAAAAGAAAATGACTATTTTTGCCTCCATATCCTGGAGTCAATGGAAGCTTGCTGGTGCCACAGATGGAGAAGTTTTTCAAAAATGAAAATGCCATGGAAAACATGTAGCAAGGGATCATCTCATCTGTGTAAACTGTTGAGCTGTGGACGGGCTGGAACCCAAGGACTTGGTGTTTCTCCTGCCCTAGAATTCGGAGTTGCATCCAAGTGGCCATCACTCAGGTGAGCTGTTGGACGCGCCCTGTGGGCCCTGGAAGAGCCAGCGCCTTTCATCCTGCTTGGCAGGACTGGCCACAGTCATAAATCACTTCACCTCTTGGCATTGCCAGGGCGGTCAGGAGGGTGTCCCCCCTCTCTTGAGGCCAGCCCCCTCCGTTCTTCTGGCTGGAGACCGTGGTCTTCGTCATTGCTGGCTCTTCTTGAAATGCCCTAGTCCACAGGCAAAAATGCCGTTTTGAAGATGTGTGAGATTTGGGGGATGTGAGGAACAGGGGTCTCAGCGTTGTTGTTTCCGAAGGGAAGCCCCAGCGATGAGCCCAGTCAGCTCTGCAGGAGAGGGCTGCTTCTCACCAGCTCTGAAGCCCCTGCAGAGGGTTCATGTAGTCTCCAGCCCATGGGCTCTGGCCACCAACGTGGAATAGGGCGAGTGGTCTCTCACTGCGGGCTTGGTGGTTTGTCTTAGGCTACACATTGAGAAAACAGGATGTGGTTTCCCTTGTTCTGAGTATTAACTGCACGGTGCTAAGGGCATCCTGCATAAATCAGATGTTGCTGACCTGGCCACTCGTGCAACTGTGACGAGGAGAACACAGCCCGTGGCACAGAAGAAAAAAGAAAAGGCTGTGAAAGGAACGATGCTCATGTGCCCTCCTTGCTCTCCCTCCATCTGGTTCACCTTAAGGTCCTGCCCTGACTTCATGCCTTGAGAAAGAATGGAACATCTGATGCAAAAACCCTAGTTCTCGTCGGAGCTGGAATTATTCTTTAAGCACGTGTACTTCCTTGGCGACGGACTCACGGTGGCTGGTGCCGTGTTGCAAGGTTGGGGAACAAAGTAGAATCTCCGTCGTCGTGTCAAGGGCATGGAGTCTGCAGCCAGACTGCCTGGGCTGGATTCCTGACTGTGTTCCCCACTAGCTGCGTGGCCTTGGCGATTTATTTAACCTCTCTGTGCCTCAGTCCAGGGGGCTGACCTCAAGAGAAGTGGGACCCTCCTGATCACCCTGGCAATGCCAAGAGGTGAAGTGATTTATGACTGTGGCCAGTCCTATAAGAATAGTAATCGTGGCTACCTCACCGGATATGTTGTAAAAATTAAATGACTTAAGCTACACAGGTGCTTGGAACAGTAAGCCCTACGTAAATGTTTGCTATTACTACTGCATTGAATCAACATTACCTAACCTCATGGGGATATTTTATGCCCAAAGAATGCGGGTCACCATCCCAAGGAAGGCCATGCTAGTAGCATGACAATGCACAGTTGCCTTGTAACCACCAGGTTTCATCGTTCCACGTAAGCAAGGTTAAGTGGTCCGTTGACTGTTTCTTTTCTGCATTTGACAAACATTTACTCAGCGCTTCTGGTGTGTCAGGCCATCCTCAAGTCCCTAGTCTTAGAGAGGAGACTCGCGCCAACTGATCGTTGAGATGCTACGCGATGTTAAAACCAAATTGTACCCGAGCGAGTGATGGCAGAGGATGGAGTGGAAGGACATGAGTGGGTTAGCTTTTCGAGGTGAGCAGGCGTTCTCCAGGTCCCAGGGGAGAGGCGGCGTCCAGGAAAAGCAAGAGACCAGGCTACACGGAGACCTGTCCGGTGCGTCTGGGACCCGCGCCGGGTCCTCCGCGTGGGCCTGCAGAGAGCAGTGAAGCCTGCGGGAGGCGGGTCCCGAACTGCGCTGTTGAGGTCTCTTCTTCTCGGGCGTCCTGGGCTTGCTCTGGCCCGAGCCCACCGCCCGGTGGCCTCTTGGTTTCCTCAGTTCTCCGACTTAGCTCGTGTCTGGCTCTTACCAAAGTGTCTGGTCTCCTTGTTTCTTCCCAGCTGGATATTCATCGACTGTGAATCTTTGCGCGACATCACCCCCACACGAATAAAAATTAAGAGGCAACAAGGATTCCTTCTGAGTGTGAGCAGAACCCACGCCTCTTGTCCCTGCTCTGCCTTCTCCTGTCCAAAGCCAGAGTGTCCTTGGCAACGCCCCGGCCACTAATCCTGCACTCCCTTCTGATAAGACACTAAGGACGGTGTTTTTGCGTCAGTAAACATTTCCTGTCCTCACGAACACTAGAGCAGCCGTGATTCCCAAGGGCTCCCTGACAGATTCTCAGCATGAGCAGAAGACCCCAGCCCAAGCCCCCCTGTTAGGAGTTGGCTTGCCCCCAGCTTCCTGCATCCAGCCTGCAGACTCACGTATTTCAGAACTCCAGTCACGGCTAGTGCGTGGATGCTCAGAGTGCGGGGACCCTGTCCCACACAAAAGCCTCAGAGGCAGACGGAGTGGCTGGGGCCTCAGGCTTCAGAGTCAGGTCGAATCAGGCTCCGTTGCCGTCTCATCCCCTTACTAACGCGGTGATCTGGGGGCAGATGCCTTGAGAATCTGCTTCGCATTGGTAAACGGTGTCAATAGAGGCTGTTCCACTGTGTTGCTGTGAAGACTGAAGACCGGATCTACCTGCCCCTCAGCGCAGTGCCTGGTGCAGAATAAAGGCCCCCTAAAAGGGCGCCATGACAGCAAGGCCAGCACCCGTCTGGCCTGTAGCTCCTGCTCCTCCCCTTTAAACTCCCTGAACTTCTCCTGACGCGCCATAGCTGTTCTCAGTCTCAAGCTGAGGACGCTCTTTGACTCTTGGATGTCATGAGGGGAGCGACAATTTTTTATCCTTCCTTTAGAGACCACCCCCACAATCCCTTATCCAGCCAGTGGGGTTTGAGTGGGTAAGATATCTGGGCGACCATTCACTGGAGCTTGAGCCCCATTCATGCAGTCACCAACCCCAGTTTGGGACGTTGTAAGACCCTGCATAGAAAGCGGAATCAGAATCTCTGATTTTATGATGTCCGTATCCATCCACCCATCCGTCCATCCATCCATTTGCCCACCTGTGCACCTGTCCATCCGTCCATCCATGCACTCACCCATTCACCCACCCGTCCAACCGCCCATCCACCCTCCCATCCACTCACCACCTACCCATCCATCCATCCACCCTCCCATCCGTCCATCCATCTATCCAGGACATCTTTTATTTTGGAAGTTCTTAAGACAGGAACATCTCTCACTGTGCTCGTGTGTGCTCAAGGCAACTGACTATCCACGAAGTCATCTCCCAGCGACCTCCCCCACCTCATAGAGTTCATTATGTCTGAGGGAGTCATGGAAAGGGGTCTCCTAGGCAAAACTTCCAGTGTATACCTTGTTGTCAGGGACAATTAGAATCCCTCTACTTCCTCTCTCTGTAAAGTACATGAAAATTTCATATGGAAAATCCACGACTAAACACATTATTTCCTCCTTCTTGGGGCAAGTGATGGGCCTGGAAGAGGGATGGCTGCAGAAAGTGACAGGTTCTGAGGACCTTACAGTGGAGGGCTTTTGAGAGACAAGCTAGAGGGAGGGTCTGGGATGACTCTCAGGTTTCTGGCTTGGGCTTCAGGGAGAGTCAAGGGTACGCCATTCCTTAATGAAAAGAATGTGACACTAGGAGATGATGTGAGGTCAGTAGGACTACTTTTGACAGTCCATTCCTACGCGACACCCAACAGGCAGTTTAATATATGGGTTTGGTGTTCAGCTGGGCTTTGGGCCCAGAGCTGCGTGTATTTGGGAGTCTTTGAGTAGACGTGGTGTGTGGATCTGTGGGGTCCCACTCAGGAAGAGGCATGAAGCCCTGGGGCACAGGGAGGTTTAAGAGACAGAAGAAGGGAGCGCTTGAAGGTTCAGAGGAGACTGGCGAGAGGCCAGGAAGACGCTAGGAACTCAGTGTTACAGAAGTTAAGGGGAAAGTTTCAAAGAGAACGTGATCATGCTCGAATAAGGTAAGAGAAGGAAAATGTCAACTGGGCTGAACGTGAAAATCCCGGTGTCGGCTCCACCGGAATAGTGGAAGTTAGGAGGGAATGGGTTGAATGTATCCACGGAGGGCGAAGACGCCGAGACTTTTAAGATGGGGGAGGGCGGGGAGAAGGGGGCTATGGGAAGACTGTGATGACCCTTCCTAGTCACCTGCTGGACAGTCCTTCCTGCTAGGAAACGCTTTGAGTCCAGCTTATTATGTCTTGAATTTTCTGAAAGATAATAATGCTAATGTCACAAATATTTTTGGCCTGAACAAAATAAATCTGCTAAGTATCATGCTTATTACACAGAGACTGATTTATTTACTTTTAAATCACAACCACCATGACCAAAAAATTGTGAAAATGATTTCAAGTTGCTGGGACTGGGATTATTTGCAAACGCCTAGAAATAGTTTTACCAAAAGAGCTTTCTCTGACATATGTTTGGAGACTCTACAGGAAAAACCAGATCTCGAGTGCTCGTCACAGAGGAAGACAGCTGTGGTGTCTGTGAAGTGGAATTTTAAAATGTTCACGCTAAAGCAGTCCCAATAAAACGGCTTTCTAGAATGTTGGAGAACTTGCTTCCATTGTGTCTCACAGGCTTTCCATATAGACACGTGCTATGTCTACTCATCTCTTTAAGTTCTGTTAGTATGCGCTCCAGTAAGATTTAAAAGCTTCCTTTATTTAGGTCTTGTGTCTGTCTTGTTAAATTTATTTTCAGCATTTTACAGTATTTTTCTCCTTGTGGAAAATGGGAAATTATTTACATCTATTTTCAAGCTTATCACTAGGAAAGAGAAAACTATTTCAGAATATTTATCTTGTACTACCTAGACGTACGTTGTGATGAATACTAATTGTTTTTGGTAAGGTGTCTTGAGCTTCCTAATGCACACGCCATAGCATTTACCAAAAAAGATCAGCTTGCTTTTTTAAAAAATGCTTTCCACCAAAGCAAGGGACCAGAAGAACACAGCTCACGGCGAGTGGCACTTGGAGTGCCCTCTTTAAACATCAGGCATTTTAGCATCTGCTCCCGAAGCAAAACTGGGCTCTCCTGGGGAGAGAAGACTTGTGGGAAGCTCGTGGCCAAGCCTGGCACGAGTTACTCCGTTCCTGCCCCTGTCTTCTGGCCTCCAGCTCACAGCTGTGATGGCTCCTTCCAGGGCAGGAGTGGAGACAGCCATGGCTCTACTTGCATCTGTGCTTTGTGCAGAAGAGGCACAAAGTGTTTGCAGGAGCATCGTGGTCATTTTGCTGACCTTGCAATCCTTGCTTTGTTTCAGGGGCCTCCAGGACCCGGAGGCGAGGCGGGGAACCAAGGCCGCGTGGGAAGCCAAGGAAATAAAGTAGGTCACGGTCTTCAATCCCCCAGGGCTGAGGTTTTCCTTCTCGGAGAACCATGTCTGTTTGCATTAGCCAGAGCCTTTCAACACAAGGGGAACACACCTCGCCAGCCCTCGCCCTGGCTCGATTCTTAGAGAGCTGCGGCCTCTGAGGACGTGGGTGTGGACCGGGTGAGGTCAGGGATTCCAGCTGGCGCAATCTCACCAGGGCGACTCCCAGCCGGAGGGGGGTCTTGGGCGAGGAGGGCCCTGGGGGGCTCCCGGCAGGCCTCCTTTTTCCCTTCCAGCCTCTCTGCGTCCTCCTGCCCTCTCTTTTTCCTTCCTTCCTTTCCTCTGTCCAGACCCTTCTTTGCTGGGCACCTTTCAAGACCCAGGCACCGTACCGAGCATCCGACTGGGCTGAAACGTCAGCCCCAGGAGGGCAGAGACCTTTGTCTCGGTCATGGGTGCGTCCCTCGTCCCTGGAACAGTGTGGGGCACGTGACACGCACTTAGTGAACATCTGTCGCCCCAATGATTCCCGGGTGGCATGAGAGTAAACACCACACAAAACCAACCCCACAGAATTTGGGACAGTTTCAAGATCATAACCCGTGACATCAAGTCGGCAGGGTGAGAGCTCAGACGGAGGTTAAGCGCGGCGTCCGGGGTGTTTCTGGGCTGGGAAGAGGTGGCTGGAGGGGGCTTGGTGGTCGCAGAAGACGAGGGTTTCGGCAGCAGCGCAGGCAGGGACTGTGATGGGAAGACGCCGTGCTGGGAAGACGCCATGCGAAGGAAGCGGGGGGGTCGAAGTCCTAGGAGAGGAGGGGACCCGGACACGCGGAGGCTCCCGGGTGGGGGCACTGCCCAGTGACCCAGGTGGAGGGATGGGCACAGCCAGACTGGGAGGATTCCAAGCAAGCAGCCGGGCAGGAACGGTTTGCAGCCTGAGGGGAGGGCTGCTGGGAGCAGCCGGCCCGCCCCCAGTCTCCTCGACAAGCAGCGACGGAGCCTGAGCCAGGAGGACTCCACGAGCTGGGACCCCGCAGGCCTCTCCCCATGGGAGAGAGGAGGGCTGACAGAGGAGGGCTGGGGGGCTTGGGGCTTCCAGCGAAAGTGGCCACACTGTCACAGACGTGGCCGTCCTGCGAAAGGGTGGCAAAGAGGGAGGAAGATCTCTCGGTCTGGGGTCCAGGAAGGGCTCAGGTCAGGGGAGACGCGGACTTTGGAGTCTCTGGGTGAGGCCTATTTGAACGAGGCGTCAGAGGGAACAGAAGACCGTGGATTCTCAGGAAGGAAGGGAAATCCGGAGAAAAGCAGGCCGGATTCTGAGAAGAGGTCCGGAAGGAAGGTCAAGGGCATCGACTGGTCCGGAAAACTTGAGGAGGCGAGCGGCCCTCGTACCCGGCGGCGAAGACGCTCCAGGGGCCGTTTTGGGCAGGGGCCTGAAGGCTGGGCGGCAGACGAGGGGGACACGGGGCCCTCGGGTCCTCTCCGGAAGCACCAGGCCTTTCCGGGGAGCAGAGGGCATTCACTGCTCACGCTGGCGAGGCCCGGGAAGGCTGTGTGTGTTCGGTGACAGGACAGGCCGCCGCACGTCTGTGACCAGAGACCCAGCAGGAGAGCGGAGGCTGGGTGGAAGAGAGATGACAGACGGAGATGCTTCTCCGTGGAGAGGACATGGCCGTGGCTCAAGGAAGGGCTCCTCCGTGGCGAGGAGCTGGGGGCGGGAGGGTGCGTTCTGCCCGGCCGTGGGGGGGGGCCAGGGGGACCGTGGAGGACAAGCAGCCAGCCTCCAAAGGAGGGGCCTCCAGGGCCTGTGGGGTGCGAGGCCCCGTCCTCCGGCTCCACTGTCCCTGGCGAGCCGAGTCTGCCTCACGGGGGCGGGGACGTCGGGCGCCGTGGATGTGTGGATCTGGGAGTAGAGTGAGGCGTCCGCAGGGTGAGGCCGAAGGACCAGAGAGGGGCAGGCGGGGCAGAGTACCCCGGCGTGGGCAGAGGCGGGAGTGGAAGGAGATAGGCACCCGCGGGGCCGCTGAACCCAAGAGGGACTTTATTAGCAAAAGGGAGGTAAGGGCCCCACAGAAAAGCCCAGCCCTCTGGGCAGCCCCGGGAACACGGAGCCCTCTGGGCCCCTCACGAGCTGGGGTGAGCCTCACACACGCACCCCTGCCTCCCTCCAACCTGGCCTGTCCCAGGGAGGCAGGCCACCCGGCGGCGGAACCCAGGTTCGATACCTGGCCCGACCGCTGGCCGAGCACCCGGCCTGGACAAGCCCGACGGCCTCCCTGGTGCCCTCCCCGAAGCAGGTGGTCTCGAACCCTGTGCGCACACAGGGCGCGGCCAGAAGCGTGTGTGAAGGCGCCTGCTGTCAGGCCCCCTGCAGGGACTAGCCCAGTGGGGTCCGAGAACTTCCTTGCCCACGAACCCGGGCGAGGTGGGAGCTGCCGTGAGCTGACATTGTACCACTCCCTGCATCCCGGGTGACAGAGTGAGACCCTGACTCAAGACAAAATGGTCAGCCATGCCCTCCCCTAGGGTAGGCTGCATGCACTTCCACGCTCCTCCTTTCAAGGAGCACGGTGTGGAAAGGGGGCGTCACTTGGCGGCAGGGAGCCTTGGCCAACCCTGCTTCGGTCCCCCTCGGCGGTGACGAGTCCCGTTGCTCGTGGGCACCTTGGCAGGACAGGGCGTGGAGGGGACGGCCCTTCTCCTCCCGGGTCTTCCTCCCCCAAACCATAAGCCCAGGCGAGTCACCTGCAAAACAGCAGACAAGCCCCGGGACGTCCCACGTCTGGCCAACGCTCCTCAGGGCCGGCAAGAGCAAAGCTTGGTCCGCTGTCCCAGCCTGAGGAGGCAGGACACACGGGGTCCCGGCAGGATCCTGGCCCAGAGGATTTTTTTTAGGTAGAAGCCAGGGACTCGGACTTGAGTCCAGGCTTCAGTTGACAGTCACAAGTCAGCCCTGGGTCGGTGGCTGTGACCAACGGTCCCCCAGACGCAGCCAGCATGGTCTCATGTTAAGGACAGAGGAAGGTGGCTGTGGGATCTGTTCACGGCATTTCTGCACCTCGAAGCCTGCTCCAACATGAAAACTTTTTACTTTTTGTACGAGGTGGTTAAGCGTCCTCTGTAAACCTGTGGTCATTTTCCCAGGCAGACAGGCCTTCCCCGGCATGATGCTGAGGTCGGTTAAAAACCGAGCAGCCCAGCGGCTCTGCTGGTCAGACGCCAAGGCCACGGCCAGGGAATCACGCTTCCCCGGCTACCTTGAAACTAGTGAATCTATCTGCTGTCTTTGCAGCGGCCAGATGGTTGTGTGGATCTTCGTGGGAAACAGTTGTGTTGGTTTTTTAAACACAGGACAGAGCTTTCTCCTTAACGCACGGAAAGACACCTTCATGGTACTGAGCTGTGGGACGGCTGCTTGCCCCAACATATATCAGGCCTGCTGAGGCCTCCATGACCGGCAGGGACACCCGGCCAGCTGCAGCACCCAGTCCTAGGCACAGCCCCCGTGGCACGACCCTCTGGATGCACCCAGACGCGTACTCTCGTTCCTATGCCCGTCCCAAAACAAGCCAACAGCTGTCCCCCGGTTCTGTTCCACAGGGGGAGCCCGGAGAGCCAGGAGGAAAGGGAGCCGTGGGCTTGCCGGGCCCTCGGGGCATGCAGGTTTGCGCTTCTTTGCTCCTCTTGGTCTGGGACGCTTTGGGCTCAGTGGGGGGCCGGGGTGTTTCTCCCAAGGGGGCTTCACGGATGTCATCCCAGTCTGGCTTTCCCAGGCCTGGAGTTCCCGGGCACAAATGTCAAGGCCGGGAGTCTCTTGAAGCCAAATGGGAAAGTGGGGGAAAACGGGCTTGAGCACCCGGGCGCCTCTTCCATCCTTGCCCCAGCAGCCCGTCGCCCCTCCCCACCCCTCCCCA